ATTAAAAATATTTTCAGTAACTTTTTGAGTCATCATCTGGATCCAGTTTTATGTGTTAAATTTGCCATATTTTCAGACTATTTGTTGCCATAGCAACCAGAATTTTCAACATAGGAACAAAAGAAAAAGATGTGCATAATCTCCATTACAGCCATCTATCCATATATCAAGTTTCATAAAAATATTTTTAGTATTTTTTGCTTTATTGCGGGATCCAGTTTTGTGGACGGACATACCAACTTTTGATGTTTATGAGGCAAATCAGCTCATAAACACCACCTGGACCAACGTCATAAGCAAAATTTTAGCTCATAAAAACAAAAATAGCTCTTAATTTTGAATTTTTAGAGTTTTTGTTCTTTATTTAAACTACGGGGAAAGAAACTCAAATTAAAAAATCAAAAAGTTTTCTCGGAGGGCTGCGGACCCGACAGACAGAAAGAAGGGCAGGACAGGATGGACGTTCTAACAGGGGGGGTAATAAAGTGGCAAACCCATTGTTTCCCCTTCATTGTTCTTTTTTCCAACAAAAGAAAATAGCCCCAAAAATAAAACCTTATTACCCCCCGAAATAAATTGGACCCCCCTCCCCAAAGAAAAAAAAGAACAGGTACCTTTGTTTTCCCTCTACCACATAAAATTTTACTTTCCTGGGGAGTGCGGACAGACGGGGAAAACGGAAAGAGGGTTTAAAACCTAAAGTCCCCTCTGGTTTAAACCCCGGAGGGGGACTAATAAAGGCCCTTTTTATTTTTATATTTTTTAATCATTGGGGGCATAAACACATATTTTTTGAACTTAAATATTCAGGGCAATAAGAGAGCTTTAACTTTGTGTTAAATAGTAATATCTGGAAATGCCAATGAGATGTATGTATACTGCATAACTAATCAAGGGCCATAAATCTGAGTTATAAGTATCTGACAAGAACAAGGCGACTATATGCACTTCTCCTCTTAGTATCCCATAAAGTTTCATTGAATTCCAGCCAGTAGTTACAGAGAAGTAGCACGGAAACGATTATTGCTGTGGTTGTATACTGCATAAGATATCAAGGGCCATAACTCTTAGTTAAACCTTTCTGACCCGAACAATGCGACAATATGCGCTTCTCCTCTTGGTATTGAAGGTTCCAATAAAGTTTCATTGAATTCCAGCCAGTAGTTGCAGAGAAGTAGCGAGAAAACGAAAATTTTTCTATATGCATACTGCATAACTAATCAAGGGCCATAACTCTGAGTTAAAGTGTCTGACCCCAACAAGGCAATGATATGCGCATCTTCTCTTGGTATTGAAGGTTCCCAAAAAGTTTCATTGAATTCCAGCCAGAAGTTGCAGAGAAGTAGCCCGGTAACGATTTTTGCTCTATATGCATACTGCATAACTAATCAAGGGCCATAACTCTGAGTTAAAGTGTCTGACCAGAATAAGGCGACGATATGCGCATCTCCTCTTGGTATTGAAGGTTCCCATAAAGTTTCATTAAATTCCAGCCAGGAGTTGCAGAGAAGTAGCCCGGAAACGATTTTTTCTCTATATGCATACTGCATAACTAACCAAGGGCCATAACTCTGAGTTAAAGTGTCTGACCGGAACAAGGCAACAATATGCACATCTCCTCTTGGTATTGAAGATTCCCATAAAGTTTCATTGAATTTCAGCCAGTAGTTGCAGAGTAGTAGCACGGAAACGATTTTTACTCTATATGCATACTGCATAACTAATCAAGGGCCATAACTCTTGAGTTAAAGTGTCTGACCGGAACAAGGCGACGTTATGCCCATCTCCTCTTGGTATTGAAGGTTCCCATAAAGTTCCTTTGAATTCAAGCCAGTAGTTGCAGAGAAGTAGCGCATAAATGATTTCTACTCTATATGCATACTGCATAACTAATCAAGGGCCATAACTCTGAGTTAAAGTGTCTGACCGGAACAAGCTGACGATATGCCCATCCCCTCTTGATATTGAAGGTTCCCATAAAGTTTCGTTGAATTCCAGCCAGCAGTTGCAGAGAAGTAGTGCGGAAACGATTTTTACTCTATATGCATACTACATAACTAATCAAGGACCATAACACTGAGTTAAAGGGTCCGACCGGAACAAGCCGACAATATGCGCATCTCCTCTTAATATTGATGATTCCCATAAAGTTTCATTGAATTCCAGCCAGGAGTTGCAGAGAACTAGTCCGGAAACGAAATTCGGACGGACGGATGGACGGATTCCATCGGCAGGGGATAATTATGATCAATGCTAGATCTGCAAATGCAACATTAAATTTATTAAAGAAATAAAATGAAACACAGAATTTAAAAATCTATCATGTTAAGATTTGACATCTAAGTGTGACCTTGACCTTGGAGGTAGGTGTGCAGGTGTTGTGCATGACATATTGTCTTATTATTGTAACTATTTGTGCCAAGTATTTTTATAATCCCTTGAACTATGAAGAAGTTATAGATTGGACACAAAATATACCCTAAAACAGACTATGTTAATCTTTGACCTCCAAATATGACCTTGACCTTGGAGGTAGGTGACTGGTTGTTGCGCATGACACATCATCTCATTATTGTGAACAATTGTGGCAAGTATTTACAAAATCCCTTCATAGATAAGAATGTTATGGACCGGACATGACATATACCCTCAAATAGACATTGTGACCTTGAATGAGCAAGTGTGACCTTGACCCTGGAGGTAGGGGTCTGGTTGTTCAATGTTGGGCATGACACATCGTCTTCTTTTAACAAACATTTGTGCCAAGTCATTTCAGATTCCTTTGATAAATGACAAAGTTATGGACCGGACACGAAAGTGTGATGGATGGACGGACGAACTCACAAAATCGTACTAACGTGACTTTTCCTTTGATCTTTTTGGCCATTTTAGTCACACAAGGCTTAAACAATTCATTATTTGTAGAAAACTGATTATTATACTTTTACAAAGTGATGATGTATAATGAGAATCAATGATCTGCTATAGGTTGGAACAAAAGACTTTTAAAACATGTATACTATATAACTCTGTACACATGTAAACTGTACCATCCCCCAGCAGAGCAATTTTTAAATACTTTGTATCAGTAAAATATTTTTTTGGAACAATTGCAGGGTTCTTCTATGAAATGGTATATACCAAATAACTGTGATCTTGGATTTTTAACTTTACAAAAGAATACATACATGAAAATAAGTTTTTTATCTATGTGACCCCTGGGGCAGGGAAAATATTAACCCCTTGAGCAAATCAGAAGTAGCATTGTGAATTAACACTGTCGGTACCGTACTTCAGACATCATTCATGTCCAAAGTTTTGATAAATTGCATGGTGGTGGTGTTGGTAGTTTTCACTCCAGATCACAGCAGTAAGCCACATTGAATTTACCAAAGAGAGTTCAGCCAATGCATCATTCCTGGGCAGGCTGTGAAGCAGTTTACCAGTACTAGTTGCCTTCACTTTCACAAGGAACTGATTTCTCCTGTACATGCAAGTGCAGAGGTACAGTGTGAATGACTGTAAAAAGGATTTCATGATTAATCACAATGAAAGTGACCTACGCCATCCAGAATTGAACCCGGTTGGCCCGATTCACAGTCCAAGCTATACCTATTGAGCTAAATGGACGGCTTTTTTATTGGATAAATTGCCTTAAAAAATTGACATTTTATACGCATCATTTATTATTGTTTCAATTTCCTACCACCTGTTCACACATGACTGTTTTCTGCTTGCTACAGAATGAACTAGAACTGCCACTGTCATGGCGTGAATACCCCCGCATACCAGACAGAATTAACAGTGGCCATTTAGAGCTCAAGGACAAACTTCCTGCCAAATCTGAGGTTACTCTAAAGTCAGTGCATTGCGAAGTTATGTAATCTACATGCTTCAAATGTGAAAATGTCAAAATCAATACACTGCGGACAGGCATTCTTAAGCATTTGAGCAGACAAGCTTATAATAGTAAAATCCCTGTGACCTTGACCTTTGACAGTCACCTAAAAATCAAAAGGGGTCATCTACTAGTCATAAACAACCTCAATACCAAATATGTCTTCAAGACTGTTGACCAAAGCATTCTTAAGCAATTGAGCGGACAAGCATTTTTAGTCAAGGCCCCTGTGACCTTGACCTTTGACCCAGTGACTTCAAAATCAATAGGGGTCACCTAATGGTCATGCTCAACCTCCATGCCAGATATGAAGACTGTGGGTCAAAGGTTTCTTAAATGATTGGGCGGACAAACTTTTTGAAGTCAAAGTCCCTGTGACCTTGACCTTTGACCCAGTGACCTCAAAATCAATAGGGGTCATCTACTCATCATGACTAACCTCCATACCAAATATGAAAACTGTTGGTCAAAGGAATCTTAAGATATTGGGCGGACAAGCTTTTTTCAATCAAGGGCCCTGTGACCTTGACCTTTGACCCAGTGACCTCAAAATCTATAGGGATCATCTACTATTCATGATCAATCTAAATACCAAATATGGAAACTGTGGGTCAAAGGAATCCTAAGTTATTGGGCGGACAAGCTTTTTGAAGTAAAGGCCCCTGTGACCTTGACCTTTGACCTCAAAATCAATTGGGGTCATCTACTTATCATGACTAACCTCCATGCTAAATATGAAGACCGTGGGTCACAGAAATCTTAAGTTATTGGGTGGACAAGCTGTTTGAAGTCAAGGCCCCTGTGACCTTGACCTTTGACCCAGTGACCTCAAAATCAATAGGGGTCATCTACTTTTCATGACCAATCTAACTGCCAAATATGAAGACTGTGGGTCAAAGGAATCTTAAGTTATTGGGTGGACAAGGAAAAACCGACGGAGGGCCGGACGAGGCAACAGCGGGATGGACAAGCTGATTCCAGTATACCCCCCTTACAACTTTGTTGTGCGGGGGTATAATAATCTCTCATTTTTAAGGCTCAATTGCCTTTATCTCTAGAATGCTATGTGAAACTACAACAAACTTTATTTTCTCTTCTTAAGAATGGCTACAGGTGGAAATTTTACGACCAGTTCAACTGATGATGATCAGGAAAACCAATACATTGCCTCAGCAGAGGCCGCAGACATTGTCATCATCAATTATCCATGTAATACTTGTAAGTCTAAAGAGAGCGTAAGTATGACCGAGGCAGAACACTACTGTCCTACTTGTGGAGAATTCTTCTGCGAGGAGTGTGTTACCTTTCACAACAGAATGGCCTTATTAAAAGATCATACTGTGTATGGTAAAACTGACATGGACAAGTGGGGACAAAAGACAACTTCTTCCACACTAAAGGAAAAATGTGCCAAACACCCTACAGAAACAATCACCATGGTGTGTTTAACATGTAATGAACTGTGCTGCCAAGTCTGTATTTCTATAAAACACAGGTATGTATTAACATTATAAATCTACAAGAAATCATGCTTTGTAGCTTCCATATTCATGGTTTTAATTATGAATTCATAGCAACACCTTCATTGTTTTATGGTGACTTTTAAACTATACTGATATAAGAAGAATTCAGGTACACCCCTCACCCCCCCCCCCCTGTACATCCATGACCCTGCAGAAACAATCATATTCTAATAGCGGGTTTAGATAGAAAAATTAGATTAAAATTTTCATTGTTTTGATATCCAATTCAAATTTCATATTTGATTATTATTAGTATACAATTAAATAATTTGTAAACATCTAAAAAGTTTACACAGTTGCAACACTGAATGACCACAAATCCTTGGTAAATTAAATTTTTTTATAAATTCTCCGCATCTATTTTTCAGCAACTGTGATCATAAGAAGTATATTCCAACAGCAGCTAAAAAAATCCTTCAATCCAGCAGAAAACAGAATATTATAAGCAATATACAGAAAAGAAGCAAAGAAGCCTTAGATATCAAAGATAAACTGACTAACTCTTTAGAAGTCCTAAACACAAAGCAGGCCACCTTTCTAAGCCATATAACTGATATGAGAAAAAAAGCAGACGACATTTTTAATGAGATGGAGAGAAGAGTAACCTCCCTTGGAAATACTCTCCGTGGAAACATTAGTGAAAATATTGTGACATGTGATGACCTGATAATTGAAATGTGTTCAATGAAAGAAAAACTTCTTAATACTGACAATAAAGATGAGTGTCATGTGTTTATAGATGTAGTCAAGGCAGAAAATTACGATACTTTTGCCAAAGAAGAGATAGATAAAATATATATAGACAATAGTGAGAGTTTGCCAGCTGTAGAGGAGTTTAATTCAACACCTGACACAGTCTCAGTTAAACCAAATTCTTCAGGACAGAGTACAGGAGTTGGTCAATTTTAAGTAAGCTGCAGACTTCCCTTAAAAAAGAATTGTTCAAAATACTTATGCATACACAAAGGAAGTCATTTAGAAGGCCATGTAGAAAGAATATTTCAAATACGTGATGGTTCATTTATTTTAATTGATTCTGCAAATTTTTACCTGGTATGGCAGTCTAAACTCTTACAAGTTGAAAAAGACCGTAGATTTGCCTGAAGCACCCTCAGCAGTTTGCAATACAGAACCAAATCACACAGGCATCAGTTTGAACAGCAAGTTATGTGTATTCATGGTAGATACAGACATCATGCCCATTCCAACACAAGACTGGACATTCAACCATCGTACTTGTGGACTGGCTTATTATGACAGGAAGTACTATATCTCATACCACGCCTTTACAGTTTATGTGTATGACATTAATGAAATATGCCAGAAAGAAATCAAAACATATGTAAGAGGACCATTGTTTAAATCAGTCAGAAATATCGCCATTGGAAAAGAAACAAAGACAATTTACGTGACTGTTTGTTTGTTTTGGGTTTTACGTCACATCGACACAGTATAGGTCATATCGCGACGTTCCAGCTTTACTGGTGGAGGAACCCCTCAGGTGCCCTTCCGTGCATTATTTCAGGCACGAACGGGCACCTGAGTAGAACCACCGACGTTCCGTAAGCTAGCTGGATAGCTTCCTCACATGAATTTACGTGACTGATATAGACAAAGGGTTCATAACAATGGATCTATAAGGCAATGTCTTGTCAACCCTTGAAACAAATGACTCAATTGGAGATGGTGCATGTGTTACCAGCATTGGCACTGTTTTTGTTAAACTATTTACCCCGACAAAGAGATTTAAATTGAAGAACATGGTACAACTGTTTAAAACACCTTTGTTCACTCTAACAAAGGGTCAGAGTTCATGTGCACTTTGCTTTGACACACAAACCCCTGATGTTCTGGTTTTTGAAATCCTTTCTGCTAGTTCAGGAATAATAACAGTGTTCTGTTAAAAAAAGGCATGCTTCAAATGATAAAAGAGTGTACAATTTATGGTATGCTTAAACCTATTAAAGAGTGTACAGTTTATGGTAAACTTCAAAGTATTAAAGAATGTACAGTCTATGGTATACTTCAAACTATTAAAGAGTGTACAGTTTATGGTATATTTCAAACTATTAAAATTTAATAGTGTACAGTTTATGGTATATTTCAAACTATTAAAGAGTGTACAGTTTATGGTATACTTCAAACTATTAAAGAGTGTACAGTTTATGGTATATTTCAAACTATTAAAGAGTGTACAGTTTATGGTATATTTCAAACTATTAAATAGTGTACAGTTTATGGTATACTTCAAACTATTAAAGAGTGTATAGTTCATGGTATACTTCAAACTATTAAAAATGTACAGTTAATGGTATACTTCAAAATATTAAAGAGTGCACAGTTTATGGTAAACTTCAAAGTATTAAAGAATGTACAGTTTATGGTATACTTCAAACTATTAAAGAGTGTACAGTCAATGGTATGCTTCAAACTATTAAAGAAACAGTTAATGGCATATTCAAACTATTAAATAGTTTACAGTTAATGTTATATTTCAAACTATTAAAGAGTGTACAGTTTATGATATACTTCAAACTATTAAAGAATGTACAGTTTATGGTATGCTTCAAACTATTAAAGTGTGTACAGTTTATGGTATGCTTCAAACTATTAAAAGTATACAGTTAATGGTATATTTCAAACTATTAAAGTGTGTACAGTTTATGGTATGCTTCAAACAAATAAAGAGTGTACAGTTTATGGAATGCTTCAAACTATTAAAGAATGTACAGTTTATGGTATGCTTCAAACTGTTAATGAGTGAAATGTTAATGGTATACTTCATCCTATTTAAAAAATGTGCAGTTTATGGTATGCTTGAACATATTTAAAAAATGGGAGTTTATGATATGCTTCAACCTACTTAAACAGTGTTCAGTTTATGGTATGCTTCAATCGATTATAGTGTACAGTTTTTCTATGGTATGCTTCAAACTACTAAAGAATGTACAGTTTATCTATGGTATGCTTCAAACGTATTAAAGTATGTACATCTTATGGTATGCTTCAAACTATTAACCCTTTACCTCATATATATGCAATTTAACACACTTTCGACTCACCTCATCTAGTGAAAAAATATTTTATTTAGGCTCCTAAACACATGTTTTCGTTTGAGAAATGTTGTTAAATCAAAAGGGCCATGATGGTCCTCAAATCGCTCATCTGAATATAGAAACTCACCATGACAAGGAGCAAGTAATATTTAAACTCTGAACAAAAGCAGATATAGAATTTAATATTACAAAGTTCATGTGTATAAAAACATTACTGGTTGCAATTGCTAAGGGAAAACAACAGTTCCAAAAAATGTGTACATATAAGAAAAATCAATGACCACCTGGGGGGGGGGGGGGGCAATTTTGACCCCAGGTCTTTTATTTGAACAGACTTGGTAGACATTTATAAGAAGATGTTTCATGCTTATATCTCACCAACACAGTATAGGTCATATGGCGACTTTTCAGTTTTACTGGTAGAGGAAGACCTTGGGCGCCCCTCCATGCATAATTTCAGACAAGAACAGGCACCAGAATAGGACCACCGACATTCCATAAGCTAGCTGGAGAGCTTCCTTTCATGAAAAAGTCCTTGTCCAGATTCAAACCCACAGGACCTTGAACACTGGGCCACGAATGCCCCTCTAGCCAGTGTTACTAACTTTAATCAAGCACTGTATTTGTGATGCAATTTGTGTGACAGTACAAGTCGTATGGCACATTATGCCTCAGAAATCCTTATTTTTGTAATTCTTTTCAAATGCCAAACAAGTGTTAATTATGTCTTAAAAACGGATTAATATCATGTGAGCTATTCAATAACTGAATAAACTTGCTGAACATGTAATTATGTGTTATACAGGTAGCAAAATGTAAACAAAGTCCTTATACCCACAAAAATACCCTACGCGGGGATAGTATTTTCACTTCCATACAAAATACTAATTCACTTAAAATACCATTTGCATACAGAGCAATATAAGTAAAAGGTCTATGTACATGTATATGGCAAATGAGTATTTTTTTTAAACTTAGTTTTTGAAAAATAAAAATTGTAAATAAAAATTACAGCATTTCTGAGGCATAATGGGCCTTTGATCGAAAAAAAAAATTCTATAACTTACTTCTTCCATTGCCACAATCTACTTCTAAGAACACAGACCACTGTTTACCCTCATTTAGTGGTGTTGCTAGGAGACCATTGAGTCCTTGTAAAGAATCAACCATCACATGAAACTCTTCCAATTTATTTGCTAGATTTATCAACCTCCTGGAAAAAAACAATTCATTATACTTTAGCGCCGTGCCAGCAACAGAATTTACCCAATGTGACTAGTGCAAAACAAGTTCAGCCTGCACAATAATGCCAGGGTTTTTTCATCAGCACTTTGGGAGCATGACACTATTTGGAATATTTTGTACTGTTTTAGAGAAATTGGGAAAAAACTGACACTATATTGTATACATCAAAGAAGTCCAAAAAGTACAATTTGGAATGCGAGATTACAATTTTCTATGGCGCTGTGCAATTAGATGTGACAAAATCACATCAAGTTTACATATTTCATTTTTTTTATTCCTTAAATTACAAATTTTCTCCTTGAAAATGGGATTTGGATCATGACACTATACGGATCGTCAAAATTGGCCCGAAAAAAACAACCTGACTGCCGTCTGATCATGATCTGTACAGTTCGATATTTAGTCGGACCATATTGTGAAATTATTCTCTTAAAAATGATGAATGGTTTTGTCAAGATTAAAAGATCATGATCAGAAGGCAGATTGAAAGATGGACAAGTCTATTCAAGATAATCAGTGAGGTAAAAGATAATGAAAATACTGATCCAGAATTTTTTTGATGTTGGTTTTCTAAATCTTTTGCTGAGAGTTAATACTTTACAGCTGGTATCTCTAAATTAAAGTCAATTTTAGATTATACTGATTTTGATTTCAGAAAAATTATAGGTTATCATGTATAGTGATAACTTATGGGCTTGTTATCTTTAATGATACATGAAAATGTTATCGTTATCACGGTTAAACTGATACAACTTGCTCACCAATATTAAGATCTCATTACTATTATATCAATAATATTCAATAAATACAATAAATCTCAAATTCAGTAATTCATAACATATTACAATATGCAATAATTACTACCATGTCTCACAATAATTACTATTACATTATACATTCAATAATTACTATTATACATCAAATTAATAATTACTATTAGATTTTTCATTCAATAATTTAATACCTCATATTCAATAATTACTATTACATTATACATTCAATAATTACTATTATACATCAAATTCAATAATTACTATTAGATTTTACATTCAATAATTTAATACCTCAAATTCAATAATTACTATTACATTATACATTCAATAATTACTATTATACCTCAAATTCAATAATTACTATTACATTACACATTCAATAATTACTATCATACGTCAAATTCAATGATTACTATAGCATTATACATTCAATAATAACTATCATACGTCAAATTCAATAATTACTATAGCATTATACATTCAATAATTACTATTATACCTCAAATTCAATAATTACCATTGTATTATACATTCCATAATTACTATTATACCTCAAATTCAATAATTACTATAGCACTATACATTCAATAATTACTATTATACCTCAAATTCAATAATTACTATTGCATTATACATCAAATAATTACTATTATACCTCAAATTCAATAATTACCATTGTATTATACATTCCATAATTACTATTATACCTCAAAATCAATAATTACTATAGCACTATACATTCAATAATTACTATTATACCTCAAATTCAATAATTACTATTGCATTATACATTCAATACTTAAAATTATACCTCAAATTTCAGTAATAACTATTACAGTTTACATTCAATAATTACTATTATACCTCAAATTCAATAACTACTATAGCATTATACATTCAATAAATACTATTATACCTCAAATTCAGTAATAACTATTACAGTATACATTCAATAATTACTATCATACCTCACATTCAATAATTACTATTACATTATATATTCATAATTACTATTATACCTCAAAATCAATAATTACCATTGTATTATACATTCCATAAATACTTTCATACCTCAAATTCAATAATTACCATTGTATTATACATTCCATAATTACTATTATACCTCAAATTCAATAATTATAATTACTATTGCATTATACATTCAATAATTACTATTATACCTCAAATTCAATATTACTATAGCATTATACACTCAATATTATACACTCGATAATTACTATCGTACCTCAAATTTCAATAATAACTATTACATTATACATTCAATATTACTATTATTCCTCAAATTCAATAATTAATAACTATTATATCTAAAATTCAATAATCGTAATTCTATCAAAAATTCATTAATTATGAACATATTTAATTTTAATAATTACTATTACACGATAAATTTACATCTCATAATTGCTATCATTACACAAATTCAATAATTACACAAGCAATTAAATTAAAAAGAATTACAAACCCTGATATTCTCTCTTTCACTATTGGACTTCCCCAGAGAATATCTTCGAAGCCATTATCAGCGTAAAATACAGCCTCATCAATTGTTGACACTACTATTTTCCTTTTTGTTCCATTGGTCATTAATACCCCTCCTTCTCTAATGTGATATTAAATGATAACATATCATAATTAATTATGTAGGTTATATAACAGAAAAAGATGTCCACAAACAAATATCATGGTAAGTATTAAAGGAGCATGCCTTCAGAATCATGCGTATTTTCATGAAAACTTTGAAAATGTATTTAAAAGTAAAATATTGTGAAGGGAACATAGAAAATAATTTTCACATTCCAAACAGCACTTACAGCCCATGTATATTGCCAAAAAGAGGTCAAAATATGCAAAAAATAGCTCTTATAACGCAGTAGAAATGTGGTGAAAAATACTGCAAAATTGATCATGAATTGCACATAACATGGAATTTGGGACTTTAATCTTGAATCATTTTATTTTCTTTTTAAAAATCTTTGTACTTTTTTCTCAAGTTTGATTTTCTTGAAATTTTCTTTTCTCATCTGGAGGCATGCAACTTTAAAAAGTAATTTTTGTGGTTTTCATGGATAGGTCAATCCACAAATTTAAGATCCAACAAAATTTCATTTTATCTGCTGTAAGATTATTTTGCAACACATTTTTTACATTTTACCTTTTGGAAAAAATAAACAGTTCACAAATTCAAGTACCAACCAAAATGTTCTTTGTGACAACTAGAACTGCCACTGTCATGGCGTGAATACCCCCGCATACCACTTTGTCAGAATCAACAGTGGCCATTTAGAGCTCAAGGACAGCCACCCTGTCAAATCTGAGGTTACTAAGCAAGTGCATTGCTAAGATATTTATTCTTCATGCTTCAAATGTGAAAATTTTAGAATCAAGTTTTTTTAGTCAAGGCCCCTGTGACCTTGACCTTTGACCTCAAAATCAATAGGGGTCATTTACTAATCATGACTAACCTCCATGCCAAATATGAAGACTGTGGGTCAAAGGAATCTCAGGTTATTGGGCGGACAAGCATTTTTTTAGTCAAGGCCCCTGTGACCTTGACCTTTGACCCAAAGACCTCAAAATCAAAAGGAGTCATCTACTAATCAGGACTAACCTCCATGCCAAATATGAAGACTGTGGGTCAAACGAATCTCAAGTTATTGGGTGAACAAGCTTTTTAAAGTCAAAGCCCCTGTGACCTTGACCTTTGACCCAATGACCCCAAAATCAAAAAGGGTCATCTACTAATCATGACTAACCTCCATATTAAATATGAAGACTGTGGATTAAAGGAATCTCAAGTTATTGGGCGGACAAGGTTTTCTTTAGTCAAGGCCCCTGTGACCTTGACCCAGTGACAAGAAAAAACCAACAGATGGCCGGAAGGGGAGACGTCCTGACGGACAAGCTGATTCCAGTATACCCCCCCTTACAACTTTGTTGTGCGGGGGTATAAAAACACAAACGTTCATGTCACAAAATATAGACAATTCACAGTTATGTATAATATAAAATCAGTACACTAGATAGTTACATTGTTTTGTGTGTCTTCATATGTGGTCTTAGCTCCATTCCCATCTCCTTACATCTGTCGATCATTTGTTGACAATTTCTTTTAACTCTATCTATATCTACTAACATACATGGTGTCTCCAGTTCTTGAATCGTTTCTGGCAGCTTGTCTGACATTTTTGAACTTTCTCTGAAAAAATAACAAAAAATGAACAGCAATTTTATTGTTGCTGATTCACTAAATCATTTTAGTATGTGCATGTGGTGTTGTTGTGAAAGCCAATATGGCCTGTCACATAGCAACAAAATGCCAAAAGGACAGGCACCACTCAAAATCATACTAAAAATAGCACAAGCAAATAAAAACTGGCACAATTCCAAAATCAATGCTAAAAATACCGTACAGGCACCAAAACTGGCACCAATTTTTGACAGGCACCAAAACTGGCATCATTCCAAAAACAGAACAAATGCATGCTGGCATCATTCCAAAAACAGACCAAATGAATTCTGGCATCATTCAAAAAACAGAACAAATGCATGCTGGCACATGACTGAATGCATGCTGGCATCATTCCAAAAGCAGAAAGAATGCATGCTGGCATCATTCTAAAAGCAGAATGAATGAATGCTGGCATCATCCCAAAAGCAGAATAAATGCATGAGCACCAGCTAGCATAAATAGTTTCCGTATATGTAAAGTCAAACAGGCACAAACTGCTTTTTAAAATGTCCATGAAAAATGTACATGCATAAATCAAAGGTGAAAATACTTTGCAGGCACCAGAGCTGGCATTATTTTAAAACCAAATTAAATGAGCACTGACATAAAGAGTATCCATACATGTACAATACCCGGCATAAATTTGCTTCAATTCCTGTAAATAAAATATACCGCATGATTTATGTAATCATGCACTTGCAAAGCTATAATTCCCTGAAGAATTTTTGACAGATGAAATGGAGTCAAAATTCAATACAAGAAGTCAATGCCATTGTCAAAATCGCCTTATTCTCTACAACTGTGCATTAATTAATTTAAACTATATAGCCAAGTCTGAACTTATGTTGCAGCTCCCTTTTCCATTAGTTTTAATCAATCAATCAATCAATCAATCAATCAATCATAGTTCATGTACAGATTCTTTATCAGTTAGATTCCAAAATCATAACAAATAAGTCATGAAGATTTCTAAAAGGACTCCTTAATGAAATTTCGTAAACACAAGTTTCTTACATCCTATCTCTTTACTTTACTTCATAAAATGAATTCAGTACACATATATCTTAACACTCTGATAAACTTGAGTACTAATCTTTAAAGTTTATCTACTATATCCTACATGCTTATGCATTTATATTAGCTTTTAATCTGTGTTTAAACAATAAGAGATTTCTAGGCCAACTTAAATTAGACTTGTGAAGGTGATATCAAGATAATTTTCAACAAGTACAATCTTTTTTCCAAATGATTTGACAGTGAGGAAAACACTACCTGCAAAATCGGTCTAACCATTCGCACAGAATTAATAAGGCTAGTGTCTATTTTATATAGTTTTTTATCACATACATATGCCGTTTTTGTGACTCAGTAAAATGGTATTGCATATATTTTGATGTGATGTCATTTGTGTTATAAAAACATAACATTAGGATGCGCTAAATATTAGCGTTACAGCATAGACGGGCCAATGAAAAATGGTTCTTATTCACTTCAAATGGTCTATATTTTTGATATGTGATAAGTAGAATATTAAATTCTTTACAGAATTTATTGAACTTGTTTAATAAAATAATATTATGCTCGTAAGAGGCTCGTCTAATATAATTTTTGTTCAACTCGTTAAATTAATTCAGTATTAAACTTACACTCATTCAACATCCTCTATCTATTAGGACCAGAGCTATAAGAGCGCAAAAACACAAAGAAGTTTTACATATAAGAAGAAAAAATACTAGTCTACAAAGATGTAAACTCAAAAGTATAAAGACATAAAACTCAAAAGTATAAAGATGAAAAGTTAAAAGTGCAAAGATAAAAACTTAAAAGTACGAAGATGAAAACACTTAAGTACAAAGATGCAAATGCACAATCATGAGAGTATTTTATTTTATCAACTTGTCATTTGCATACTGCTTATACCATCACTGCACACAATATATTAAATCTTGATAAACATTCCCTCAGGTTTGTAAGATGTATCTAAATTAAATTTTACCTATAACACGAGTCATGCTGAGTCCTATAGCAGCACGTCTCCAGATTCATGTTAATTTTCATGAAAATTTTGGAAATGTTTTTAAAAGTTAAATATTATGAGGTGAACAAATAAAGTAATTTACATATTGCAATCTGCACTTACAATCCAAGAAAATTACCAAAAATTGGTCCATATATGCAAAAACAGCCCTTACTGCTTTAGTAATGCAGTAGAAATAAGGTGATAAAATACTGCAAAATCAGTAAAATCAGTCTAAAACTGCAAATAACATGTAAAATATAACTTGGACCATTCATTATTTTTAGCTTTCTTAAAATTTTAGTAAATTTTTCTCAATATTGATTTTCTTGGCTAATCTGGAGGTGTGCAGCTTTATAGCCCAACAGGGTAATCTAAGGTTGCATAATTTTTACTACAATGTACATGTTGTTAGATTGAAATTGCATAGATCAATGTATTTTTTTCTGATCTATATTTTTAATATCAATCAAGCCATGATTTTTTTATGCTCTTGTTTTGTTTTAAATTTTGCACTTTAATATTTTGGCACAGTTTTTCCTCTTTTTAAATAACATTGACAATGTTTCAGTAATTACACCTGGACACACAATGTCAATTTAATGTCAAGGTCAAATCAGAATATTTCAGTATTCTGGTTTTGTCATGTGTTCTTTTGTTCCAAGTATAAATCAAGTTTGTAAATAAATATCAAAATTATGACAATTTTAGCAAAATTCAATAATTTGACCTTGACCATCAAGGCCAATCAAAGGTCAAGGTCATTTTTGAATTATTCAACATAAAGGTTTTGTCATAAGGTTTTTTTTATCAAAGTATAAATCAATCCGTAAATAAATAACGAAGTTATTACAATCTAAATTCAATATTAGACCTATAGGGTCAAGGTCATATTTGAATCAATAACATGTCAGTTTTGTAATGAGTGAGCTTTTGTCCAATTATAAACCAAATCCAAAAATTAGTAACAAAGTTATGGCCAATTGTATAGAAATTCACTAACTTGACTTTTTGTGTCAAGGTTAAATTAAGGTCAAGTTCCATTTAATCTTCTTTAATGTCTTTCCAGGGATTGATGTGCCAAAGTACACAGACAATCCATTCATTATGTACAAAGTTTAGCCAGTTATAGCAAAAAAGCTGTGAAATTACAATAATTTGACCTTCAAGGTCAAGGTTATTTATGAGTCAAGGTCAAACAAGACTGTTGTGCTCAAGTTTTTTTTAGTTTTTTTCCTTATGGGTTTTAAGTCACACCAACATTTATAGGTCATATGCTGACTTTCCAGTGATACTGGTGGAGGAAGACCCCAGCAGACATTTTCACAAAAAATCTTACGACAATTTTTTGTCGTAAGAGAAATCTTACGATAAATCTCCTTTTCACAAAAAATCTTAAGAAAATCTTAAGTGCAAAATCTGTCGTAACTTTACGATAGGTCTTCCCCGTTCGTAAGTGTAATTTTTTCTCTCTTAAGGGTAAAATATCATGCATCTCTTACCTAAACTGAATAAAAACAAACAAAAAAATGGAGGGCAACTAAATATTAAGCAAACAGTATGCTATAAATAACACAAATTGAGGTATAATTATTTTTCAACATATACATTTGTGACGTCATGACTTGATGACGTCACGATGGAGAGGGTTATGAATAGTTTAAAATAATGTGAACTATACTGTAGACTAGTATTATTAAAAACTTATAATTTGTACAATTGGTGAGTTCGATTTCATTGCCAGCATGTACTAGTGGTACCTTTTTATTTATTAATAACATAGTAGACCTTCTTTCTGAATCTTTTAGATATATACGTATAATTATCTTCAATCAAGATATAAATTATATCAGTTTGAATCATTTTTTTTGTTCTTATTGAAATTTGATTGTGTTCAATAGATATTTCAAGCTCTTGATTACTTGATTTTAAAACCGGAATCAAATATAGAGCATGCACATCACTATCAAATGAACGTTGCTAGGGATGTTTTTGTCGTAAGATTTATCGTAAGTGAATTTTTTATCTTAAGATAAAATTTTAACTTACGAGTGGCTTTGTGAAAATGACTTAAGATTTAACTTACGATTATCGTAAGTGAAAAACTTAAGATAAATCGTAAGATTTTTTGTGAAAATGTCTGCTGGTGTCCCTTTGTGCATTATTGCAGGTATATTGTACAAAAAGGCACAAGAGTGCTCAAATACTAAGATGATCCATTGTATGAAATCAAAAATAATAGCCAATGTTAAAGTTTCTGAACAGCAACTAGAATATGTACGACAACCTGACTGCAAATAGCAATACTCCATAGCAAAAATCAAGCAAAATTCAGATATTTGACCTTCAAGGTCTAGGTCTTTGATGAGTGAAGGCCATAATCAAGTTGGTCTACTTGAATGGCTTGTCCTAAGATTCCTAAGGATTGTTGCATCAAAGAATGAATACAATCTATTTATAAATAACAAAGTAATAGCCAATTATAGCAAAAATCAAGCAAAATTAAACAAGAAACATGGCAATGCCACGAAACCAGGTTTTCAATTATCTCCATTGTAGATAAATATGTTGTATTTGTAATACAAATGCAAGCAATAAACAATGTAACTATGTGCAATGTAAAACATGAATAATGTAGGAGGAATTGCCACAGAAGAAGTGTTCACTGTATATTCAATAATTCTGTATAAGGAAAAAATGTATTCTGTATAAGGAAAAAAAACAAAGGGCCATAATTAGGTCAAAAATTATCCAATCACAAAACCTCTACAATATGCGCCAGGGCACATGATGACAAAGCTTCTGTGAAAGTTTGAACAAAATCTGTTGAGAAATGTAGGACTAGTTCAGCACAGAAGAATTTGTTCACTATATATTGATAATTCTGTACAAGGAAAAAAAAACAAAGGGGCATAATTAGGTCAAATATTATCCAATCACAAAACCCTGACAATATGCGCCAGGGCACTTGATAACAAAGCTTCTGTGAAAGTTTGAACAAAATCTGCTGAGAAATGTAGGACTAGTTCAGCACAGAAGAATTTGTTTACTATATATTCTGTATAAGGAAAAAAAACAAAGGGCCATAATTACATCAAATATTATCCAATCACAAAACCCCGACAATATGTGCCAGGGCACTTGATAAAAAAGCTTCTGTGAAAGTTTGGTCAAAATCCCTTGAGAAATGTAGGAGGAGTTGTGCACAGAAGAATTTGTTCACTATATATTCTATATAAGGAAAAAAAACAAAAGGGCCATAATTAGGTCAAATATTATCCAATGGCAAAACCCGGACAATAAGTGCCATGGCACTTGATGACAAAGCTTCTGTAAAAGTTTGGTCAAAATCCGTTGAGAAATGTAGGAGGAGTTGCGCACAGAAGAAATTGTTCACTATATATTCTATATAAGGAAAAAAAACAAAGGGCCATAATTAGGTCAAATATTATCCAATGGCAAAACCCGGACAATATGTGCCAGGGCACTTGATGACAAAGCTTCTGTAAATGTTTGGTCAAAATCCGTAGAAAAATATAGGAGGAGTTGCGCACAGAAGAAATTGTTCACTATATATTCTATATAAGAAAAAACAACAAAGGGCCATAATTAGGTCAAATATTATCCAATCGCAAAACCCCGACAATATGTGCCAGGGCATTTGATGACAAAGCTTCTGTGAAAGTTTGGTCAAAATCCGTTGAGAAATGTAGGAGGAGTTGCGCACAGAAGAAATTGTTCACTAAATATTCTATATAAGAAAAAACAACAAAGGGCCATAATTAGGTCAAATATTATCCAATGGCAAAACCCCGACAATATGCGCCAGGGCACTTGATGACAAAGCTTCTGTGAAAGTTTGGTCAAAATCCGTTGAGAAATGTAGGAGGAGTTGCGCACAGAAGAAATTGTTAACGCCCGCCCGCCCATCCGCCCGCCGACATACCTCAATCTAATAACCAGTTTTTTCCTTCGGAAAACCTGGTTAAATATTTGACCTTGAAGGTCAAGGTTTTTTATGAGCCAAGGTCAAGTTCAGTCTGGTCAACTTGAAGGGTTGTTGTGCCCAAGATGAAGACAATCCATTGAAAAATTAAAAAAATAATTGCCAAAGTTGAAATTTCTAAATAGCAGCTGGAACAGGAAAGACAATCTAACTAAAGCAATAGTGACAAAACAGTGTTTGTGTTTTTCAAGTTCAACTTAACACCCGTGTGTACATATCTAGAAAATATTGACCTCATTAAATTATATACTGCAAAAAATAAACAAAGTTACAAATAACAGTTAAGGGCTCAAACCACAGATCTCTCTCATTTTAAGCAATAAGTTAATCTAAATGACTGCTTTTATGTATTTTTCATAATTGACAATGTCAATAAAATCAAAAATCAAACCACAGACAATAATAATTATCAAATGTTGAAATATGAGTTATTTTTATAAAACAGCTTTTATCATACAAATGTACATGTATGTGCTGGGATTGGCAAATAGACATTTTATTTAGATTTGATGTGTTTGGAGCTCCATACCCAAAGTGACTGTGAATAAAACCACAGGGGGTTCTGTAAATCAAACCACAGGGGGTTCTGTCATTTCTTTCTTTTCTCGCTAGATTTTAAAAAATAAGGAATCAGATGGATAATCATACATTTTAAATTCACTTGTTTTTCGTTTGCGGTACACCATATAAAATAGGCACACTCTTTGTAAAATCACTAGCTGCATGAATTTTTGAAACCTTATGTTTTTATATACATGATGATCATGAAAACACGTCATTATAATTATGTATACATGTCACCCATGTAGTGAAAATGTCACTCATGTTTCACGTTAGATTTAGCAAAATTTAGAAAATGTCATCAGTTAACGAAAATTCATTTGGAATCACACGTGTTTTCTTTATGTTTCTAACAAAATTAAAAGAAAAGAACATTTTGTTATTAATATCTAATTCGATGTTTTTTACCAAGCTGTTTCCAGCACTTCTTCGAACTCTTCCTCAATGAAGTTTCATTATTATTTCAAAATGGCTGCGCCCATGAAAGAATTTTATTTACTCTATAAACATCTTTGATTTTGAGATAAATGGCCATTGGAAAAAATAATTCATCATGTCAACAGTTTTCGTTCAGATAGGGCAATGTGGAAATCAAGTTGGACACGCTTTTTGGAAGAGGATTATGAAGGATGAGGAGGTCAACAAAAGGTGTGTATTTCGGACAAGCTTAAATTCGGATAAGAATATTATAATCGCCGTTATCCGATATACACATGAGTTATGTATCAATGTTTTTTATTTATTAGAATTAATTTGACTATGATGAATTGTTCTTTTAAGATTTATAAATAATTCTTAATCAATCTATACATTTTTACCCTATACATAAATATTGCCAAAATATACTTAAATATAGCAATATTTATATTTGTTTGTATAAAATGTAGATTATATTGAGGAAATGAATTAATATCTAAAAAATAACATGACTAAGCCTGCTATAACTTTCATTCATTTTGTATAACAGAAAGATATGGTGTCTCGGTCAGAAGTAAGATATTTTGATGTTGTGCGGACAAACAAGTTGTGGTAAATTACTAAATGCCCTTTCACTGTGTACACTGCTAAATTATAATCTACTTATTATTAGACTTATATATTATCAGCACACAATCTTATTAGTTTTAAGCAGTTCCTCCACATTTTGAAAAAAAAATTGCACAACTCTGGGGCATTACTTGGAAACAATATGTAGATTTTGGATGTGATTATTTGTATTTCACTTCATAACCACATCATATTATTTTCTCTTTTTTCTTGTAACAGTTCCAGTTTTATTGCTAAAGATGGTAAATTTAGGGCAGTGGTTGTAGACAGTGAACCTAAAGTCATCAGAAAAATTACAAAAGGCTTGCCATTTAGGTGGGTAATGCATAGTAATTTGTGAAAGTAATTTGAAAACCTTTACATTTTTCAGAAGGTCATTGGTGAAATGATGTTTTATCATAAATGTTAGCAAAAAGATAAAGAAAAATCATAATGGCTATGTAAACGTAAAAAGGTGAGATTATGTTCTGAAAGTCACTAATATCTGTTCTCCGTGAATTTTAGTGGCTTCCATGAATTTAGGCATATATACACAATAGCAAGGCTCTAAAATTCATTGACATTTGTTACTTGTTACTTGTTATGTGTCCTTTATGACTTAAGCTAAACAATGATAAAAAGTCTTTGAAATTTAACTCAGTTAAAAGTGTGACCTATCAAGATTCAAATTATGTGTGTCTAATTACTGAGTCAATCATGATAAAATTAAATATTTGTTTAACAACTATTTTTGCAAAATAAAAAACATTTTAAGAAAATTGTTGCATGTATTTGGCCTGTTGTTTTTTCTTTCTTATAATAAAAGCCAGGACTTGAAAGTGTTGTTCTTGTATTTCAGAGAAGAATCTGTTATTACTGGCAAAAGAGGAAGAGGCACTAATTGGGCTTTAGGTTTGTTTTCTATGGTTGGTCATAATTTTAAAGGAAATTATTATATTTTTTCAAAGATTGTTATCTCAAATGTGTATGAATGTCAAGGAATTTTGTTTTTAAGTAGCATGATGACTCCATATCCATGCTAATTTTCATGAAAATTTTGAAAATGTATTTAATAGTAAAATATAGTAAAGTGAATAATGAAACTAATTTACACATTGCAAATGTCTCTTAAAGACCATGTAAATTACCAAAAATAGGTAAAATTAAAAAAAATATGCAAAAAATAACCATTAGTGCATTGGCCACACAGTAGAAATAAGGTAAGAAATACTGCAAAATCAGTCATTTATCAAACAAAACAGGTTAATTGCTACTTTAATCTTTTTATTTTTCTTAAAATCTCGTTATTCCCTAGTTTGATTTTCGAGAAATAGTTTGGCTCATCTCAATGCATGCAGCTTTAAAGCATTTTACATTTTAATTTTATACTTGTGATTAGAAAATTATCACAAAAATAATGCTATGTGAATAGCATACATGTGTATTTACATCTCTAAAAGGTTACCATGGTTTAAAGAGAACTGGCGATGATCACTTGCTAGAAGACACGCTGGAGGCTATACGCAAAGAAATTGAGAGGTAAAAATAAAATGCTATATTTTTTAGCTCGACTATTCGATAAGAATAAGTAGAGCTATTGCAGTCACCCGAGCGTCGGCGTCGGCGTCGGCGTAACCACTTATGTTAAAGTTTTTGTAATAGTTTAAATATTTTCAAAGTCCATTGACATATGGCTTTGAAACTTTACACACTTGTTCACCATCATGACCCCAATCTGGAAACAGGAGGAGGTAACTCTATCAAGCATTTTGACAGAATTATGCCCCTTTTTCGACTTAGAATTTACGTTAAAGTTTTTGTAATAGTTCAAATATTTTCAAAGTCCATTGACATATGGCTTTGAAACTTTGCACACTTGTTCACCATCATGACCCCAACTTGTAAACAGGAGGAGGTAACTCTATCAAGCATTTTGACAGAATTATGCCCCTTTTTCGACTTAGAATTTACGTTAAAGTTTTTGTAATAGTTCAAATATTTTCAAAGTCCATTGACAATATGGCTTTGAAACTTTGCACACTTGTTCACCATCATGACCCCAACCTGTAAACAGGAGGAGGTAACACTATCAAGCATTTTGACAGAATTATGCCCCTTTTTCGACTTAGAATTTACGTTAAAGTTTTTGTAATAGTTCAAATATTTTCAAAGTCCATTGACATATGGCTTTGAAACTTTGCACACTTGTTCACCATCATGACCCCAACCTGTAAACAGGAGGAGGTAACTCTATCAAGCATTTTCACAGAATTATGCCCCTTTTTCGACTTAGAATTTACGTTAAAGTTTTTGTAATAGTTCAAATATTTTCAAAGTCCATTGACATATGGCTTTGAAACTTTGCACACTTGTTCACCATCATGACCCCAACCTGGAAACAGGAGGAGGTAACACTATCAAGCATTTTGACAGAATTATGCCCCTTTTTTGACTTAGAATTTACGTTAAAGTTTTTGTAATAGTTCAAATATTTTCAAAGTCCATTGACATATGGCTTTGAAACTTTGCACACTTGTTCACCATCATGACCCAAACCTGTAAACAGGAGGAGGTAACTCTATCAAGCATTTTGACAGAATTATGCCCCTTTTTCGACTTAGAATTTACGTTAAAGTTTTTGTAATAGTTCAAATATTTTCAAAGTCCATTGACATATGGCTTTGAAACTTTGCACACTTATTCACCATCATGACCCCAACCTGTAAACAGGAGGAGGTAACTCTATCAAGCATTTTTTTTACTATCAAGCACTAAGAATAGTCGAGCGTTGCTGTCCTACCGACAGCTCTTGTTTGTGTATGTAATTTATGTAAAAATCAACATGTATTGGAATTTTTTAAGTTTTCAAGTAGTAAAAAGTCCTACATAAAGAAATTAGGCCAGAGTTTTAAAAATATCATACATAAAAAAATTGAGAGGTAACTTAAAATATCACACAAGTGGGAGGCAATTAAGATTTTATTTAAAGATCATAAATGAAGGTGTTGCAAGATATATTTATATGTTAAATCTTAATTAGATTTATAAGGGTGCATAATAGTGAAACAGCATAATTAAAAAAAAAGGTTTCATTTTTTGATTAGTTTGTTTTGTATAATATTATCACCATATTATACTTTCAGGTGTGATTGTTTTAGTGGTATTATTATGTTACACAGTCTGAGTGGTGGAACAGGCTCAGGGTTTGGTTCCAGGCTGGCTGAGATCCTAAGGGATCGGTACCCGATGCATCATCTTATGTCGTGTGTGTTTGCCCCCCATGCCAGCGGAGAGAGTCCCCTACAACACTACAATAGTCTGTTAACTCTAGCTACCTTACAAAGGTCTCATTTATATATGTACCTTATCTCTCTAGGTGTCATGCAAAATGCCAAGATGGCGTATTTATTTGAAATCCAAGGTTTGAAACACCTTCAATCAAATACATAGCTAAATTTATATAAGATTTGATAAATGAAAGTCACTAGTTCAAACAAGAATGTTATGTTATTGACATAATTCTTTGAACATATAGATGAAATTCAAACAGTGTTATATGACTTATATCTCACTGAAAACTCTCAAAACTTATTGTACATCGTTAGAGAAAGGTATGTACACTCACAAGTGTAAAATTGATCATATTAGATCTGTAACCTTAAAGAAATCTTGTGTATCTGTAACTTATTTTATCAAATTGGTCTGTTGAACAGACTAGTAATTTAAGGACTGCTGGCTGTATGAGTTCAGACCCCGTCGGAGGCAAACCGTTGTTTCTGTGAGTAAGAAACTTAACACCCATTGCTTAAAACTGGTTGGTTCAGGGAGCGGAGTCAAGATTGTTTCAAATAGTTTATAGGTTCCAACAAAATAGAACTAAAATAAATCAGTATAAACTAAACTAACTAAGCAAAACTAACTAAGCTTAGTACTGGTTGGTTCCAGGATTGGAGTCTATATTGTTTTAATAAGCTTATAGCTACAAACACAAACTTAAATATATTCATTTAAACTAATTAACAGGACAACAGACTGTGTGATACTTACTCATAATGATGATGTTCTACATCGTGTTCAGAAGAAGAAAGGGCAAGAAGCTGTCTCATATTCTCACCTCAATGAAGCTATTGCCAGTCATTTGTCAGGCATCTTCTTACCAACTGAGTCGCTCCGGGCTAAAAGGTAAATTTAAAGGCTCCAACATTTAGCTTCAACCCTCCATCACTATCTGGCCGAACTTACACTTATGTGAGTTATAGACCAATAAGATAAAACTGTTCTGTCTCTCATCTAAATAAAAGATGCTAGTGATAGCCTTTTATTTGCCCATTTTTTTTTAAAGAAAATTGAGCAATTTCATGACCCTCTCATTGGTGTCAGCATTGATTAACCTTTTTGTTAAGGTCTATTTTCTCAGAAACAATAGAAAAAGCTATTCACTTCAAACTTAAAAATGTTAATTGGCAGAAAGGATGCCATTTCTAAAGGGAGGTATAATCCTTATATACTTTTTGCAAAGTTATGCCCCTTTTTTCTATTTCTTTTATTTAACTTCCCAACATTGAGAAAAAAGTGGAGCGGTCTGTCTGTGGACAGGTCTTATTAGGAATTTTCTTGCCAACATAGTCACTCAAGACTTAAGAGTTAAATTTGATTAATATGCCCTTAAGTTACCAACAGCTCTGTCGATAAGCACAAGCACATTAAAAAGTACACAAGGGTTAATGGGTAGTCAGGCTGAAAGAGAGTACGGCATGCTGGCTTCTGATTCGAATCTTTCCTAGGTTCTGTAATGTGAAAGACTAGGTCATTAGGTGATGAGAGATTGTACTGTAAACTTGTAAAAAAACTACTTTAGAAAATCAGAAAATGAAAGACAATGGTACATAATGTATTTATATAGCCCAACAGTGTATGGACTCAAAAAAGCTGTTGTAAGTTTATAATCAATGTTTTGGCATAGAAAGTATTTATGTTTATTTAGGTTTTATCTTTTTGTACATTTTTTGTACATGTGTATCATTACAGTGCATTTAGTTTAGGAATGGAACCATGGGAAATGTTACGATCAATTTGTCCGATGCCGAACCTGAAGTTTGTACAGATAGCACAATACATGAACAGGTAACACTTCTTATCATTAACTTACTTGAACGAAATGGTATCATGTATAGTATGAATCTATCCTTGAATACCGTAATTGAAAAACATTTACCATTTACATATATTTGAGATGCATTTGTTTTATTCCTTTTGTTGTATTTAAAGTGCCACTGATATACTGATATTGTAAAGGTCAGTTGGTGAATTTCCAATTTTATTTGAAGAGATATAGTTCAGCTGCCATGTTTATGCATTATTTCATTATTTAGGGTCATAAGGTCGACGTTTCAATTTTATTGGTATAGGAAGAGCTGTGGTACAACCATTGACTTTGGACAGTAATAGTAGATGCTTCTCTGAAATACAAAAACAACATTTTATACCAAATTGATTCAGCTTGAAGTTTCACAAACAAACAAGGTCTTCCTCAACCAGAAAGGCTGGTAAATCGCTATATAACCTACCAGTATATTGTGTTGGTGTAATGTAAAACACAACCTTAAAAGAAAAATAATCACCTACCTAACAAATATTGTCAGACTTTATCCAGTATTTGCTTTAATTGCCTGGTCCCTAACATGTTATTCTTTTAAGGATTTTTTTTGTATAATATAATTTAATTCACATCTTTATTTTTGTTTCAGTAAAATGTCTTGGTCAGATTTGCTAAGTAAAGTGTCAGCCACAATTAGAAGATATGACAGCTCTGGAAATCCTGTATCCTTATAGGAACAGTTAATTAATGTATACTTCATGAGCACAATTTGATGATCTACATTGGGTTGGTTCCCTGTGTTTCTATTACTTAGTAAAGATTTAGTTCAAACTATAAGGGAATAGGAGAGAGTAAAAATATTTATATAATAGACAAAAATCATCTCTGAAAGATTGTTTTTTTTTATTCATACACTGTTTTTAGCTTGACTATACGAAGTATATGGAGAGCTGTCCTACTCGACCGCGTCCAGATTTCAGATTAAAGTTTTGGTGCAGTAAAATATTTTTCACTATAACTTTGTCATTTCTTAAGGTATCAACTTCAAATATATGTTCCTTATCATCAACCACATCTTATGTGACAAGGTTCATAACTCTAGCACCAATATTTTAAGATTTATCTCCCCTTGAACTTAAAATTTTCCTTAAAAAATACTATTTTTTACTGTTATTTTTTTATTTCTTAAGGGATCAACCTCATACTTCAAATATATGTACCTTATCATCATCCCCATCTTATGTGACAAGGTTCATAACTCTAGCACCAGTATTTTCAGATTTATCTCCCCTTGAACTTAGAATTTTCCTTAAAAAATACTATTTTTTACTGTTACTTCTTTATTTCTTAAGAGATCAACCTCATACTTCAAATATTTGTACCTTATCCAGGCCTCGACACTAACTTTTTTAGCAGGTGGTACGCCGGACCACTAGATTTGAAAGTTAGGTGGTCCTTCCAGAAGTCAGGTGGTCAGTAATCTTTATTATGTCATTTTACTGCAAATGTAGAAAAAAATGTTTAAACTTTATGACAAAGATGTATTATTAACCTTTAAAGAAAACAGATATTTTTAGATATAAATTTTTCATCTAATCAGAAAAGGGAAAGCAAGTCAGTATGCATTTTATCGTAGAGTTATTTGTTCCAGTCAAAAATACACAACAGAGTAAAAAAAAAAAATTATTATTTTTTACTGTAACTTATTTATTTCTAAAGGGATCAACTTCATACTTCAAATATATGTACCTTATCCTCATCCACATCTTATGTGACAAGGTTCATACCTCTAGCACCAATATTGCAAGAATTATCTCCCCATAAACTTAGATTTTTTTACTTGAAAAATGTTATTTTTTACTATAACTTTTTTAGTTTTAAAGGTATCTACCTCAAACTTCAAATACTTATTCCTTATCATCAATTACATTTTATGTGACAATGTTAATAACTCTTGAAGCAATTTTTACAGATTTATCTCTCTTTGAACTTAGGATTTTCTTTAAGAAATATTATAACTTCTTTACTTTTTAAGGTATCTACTTCAAACTTCAAAAATATATTTCTTATCATTACACACATGTTGTTTGACAAGGTTCATAACTCTAGCGTGACTATTTCTAGAATTATTTCCCTTGATCTTGGAATTTATGTTAACAAATGTTATTTTTTTACTATAACTTAATACATAATTATACATAATTGATTTTTCTTTCATAGCTTTGTCCTCCTTACTGCGTCCAGTATTTAATTAGTCGAGCTTGGCTGTCTCCTGTGACAGCTCTTGTTCTTTAATGTGTTTTTCTTCTCTGTATGTTGATATTAAGGCTCCCACGTTTACAATTTTTTGTAAACGTTTACACAATTGCTAAGAACCGAAACGATACCTTTTAAACGGTGGTACTTCTTTGTACTATACTACACCATGTATTCAAGTCTCCAAATGATGACTTACTTTTTATTTACAAATAATTCAATGTTCAGGGCTCATTACGATTGAGTCCACATTGTATCCTCATTTCGATCTTTTGAAAGATCAAAGGATAATCAACTTTACCAATGTATTATGTCACAATTAGTGCACAGCAATGCTGTGGAGGGTTGTTTATACCTATTTTACTTTGGAATATACGAATTACAATTGATAGAATTCATGATTACAGGCAATGATTAAGATATTTTGTAAGACAATAGGGTCATTTCGATTAAACGGTAAAAATTATCGTAAACGTTTTCTATTGAAAATCGAAACAAATCCGTTTAAACGCGTAACCGTGGGGGCCTTAGTTGATATTGATATTAAATTGACAGTATTTAAAAATTTTGCATTTTTGCGCTTAAAAAATGTGTTGTTAACTTTTTATGTCTTAACCTGCTGAATTTGTGTACTGGACTTTCAAATTTTGAAATAGATCAGATTGAAAAATAGGGGCTTACGTGGCTGAGTGGTTTAGGTTGTTCAATTCAAACCACTTTCCTCTCAACACTGTAGGTTCAAACTACACAAGTATCATCAGTTTCTTTCATATGGGAAAGCTATCCAGTTAGCTTACGGAATGTTGGTGGTTCTACTCGGGTGCTTGTTTGTGCCTGAAATAATGCAAAGAGGAGTACTTGAGGTCTTCCTCTACCAGTAAAGCTGGAAAGTCGCCATATTACTTATACATTGTACTGTGTTGGTGCAACGTAATACCCAACCGAAAAAAAAAAAAATTGAAAACGTAGGGTTTTTAATATCAAAATAAAGAAAAGAGCTATATAGCCTGGTCAGACTACCTACATGTGTAGGCCTGGGTCTATACTGGTGGGAAAGACTTGGAAAAAACTTTGGGTTCCACCAGGTTAAAGAATCTTCTTGGCATATCCACATTTATCCTTAATATAATAACAATAGTACAGCAGTTTAGGCAATATTTGTGTGGCCAGAGGTGATACAACCGGAGGGTTCCAATTACATATGGGAGCGCTTGAACCGAAACTGAAACGTGCATATAATTGTGTGGACTGGAATCCATTTCCTGTCGACTTCTGGACAGGTATAGTGTTTATTTGAAAAGAGAAGGGTTTAGTGATTTCTTTTTATTTTGTTATTCATATTTATTAATATAAATGTATGTAAGGGGCCCCCCTGAGTGGTTAAAGTGGCCGACTTCAAATCCCTTGCCTCTCACTTCTGTGGGTTTGAATCTCATCAGGGACTATGGATTCTTTCTATCAACTATCAAGCTAGCTTACAGAACATTGTGGGTATACTTACACTGGTGGTTCTACTAACATTGGTGGTTCCACTCAGGAGCCCGCTTGTGACTCAAATAAGTAACTGAAATAATGCATGATGGGATATCCGAGGTCTTTTCTTCCACAAGTAAAGCTAGAAAATTGCCATAAGACCATTACAGTGTTGTTTTGACATAAAACCAAACAAACATTCATATGACTTAAGAAGTGCACTTACCATCTCACATTTGACTAAAATTAACCACTTCGCTGCCTATAAATGTTGTTAAACTGGCTAGAGGCTCACATTATAATACTTTTCTTAACTCATTTCCTAGATGTTTGTATAAAATTTACCATAAATACCTAACTCCTGGCATTTTTTTTTCTTCAGCTAAACCAAACAATTGTGGATCTAAGAATTCAGCTAGTCTGACAGTGGCATCAAACAGTTCATCTATCAATGAGTATTTAGAGAATGTCCTTGAAAGGTCAAAGGTCATGTTTGAGGCTGGAGCATATCTACACTGGTATTGGAGACATGGTGCTGATAAGGTACATTTAGCCCTTTTTTTGGACCTTGTATGTTCTTTAAAGTTTAATTCAAGGTCTGTCTCAATCAATTCAGCTCAAAATCTTCCAGTAGCAAAAACACACAAAAAAACACCGAGGTTGTTTGTCATGATGGGAGTAGAAATATTTTTTGAAGAATCGTTTGATGTAGTCTGGGCAAGATTTCAGATTATTCACTCACTCTTTTTTCCAAGAATAATTTTATAAATAGTGGAAATTGACCCAAAAAAGAAGTGTTTATGAATGCTTTTATTTTCTTTTGCAAATCTTTTTAAATGTCGGTGTTGATTTATGTAAGAAATTCAAATTTGATGTTCTTAAGAATTTTGAATCTTTGTGGAGTTCTTTTAAAAGTTATTAAATTTAAAGGTAAACAATGAATAAGAGACTTGTTTAAAACTGTTATTTAAAAGGTTCTTTAAATAAGAAGCTGGTTTAAAATGAAATTCAAAGTGACATGTAATTGTCGGTACACAACTAGTTGTTTAACATGAAATACATGTATGTACCTGAATTACATTTCTTGTACAATCTTTTTTGTTAAATTTGCAGGAAACATTTGAAGATGCTTTTGAGACAATACAGTTAGTTGTTGACGATTACAAAACTGCTGTTAAATGACCTACTGCATGTGCACAGATGTTATATCATATTTATCTAACTTATGATACTTATCCAAGTACAACAGCTCAGTGCTGTTTGTCATGCAACTGTTACTGGTTGTTACGTTAGGTCATAATGCGATATGACCAGCAATGTGTCAATATGCCGTTAAACCTAAATGTTAGGGCATTACTGTGATATTCAGGGTCAAGAGGTCATACAACGAAACCCAACAAACAGGTCCCAAATTAATATTTTTATGAAAGATTGTTCCATTTATTTGTTATTGTTTTACTTTTTCATTTATTTTGTTATAACCAAGTTTTAAATAAACAATTTTTAAAATTTGAACTAATTTATAATGCAATTGCCCTTCTTTTTTTTTTTAATCCATCACAAGTTTGTTTTTCCTGCTTTATTGGTAGAGAAAACCTTAGTTGCCCTTCCTGTGCCTTATTTCAGGCATGAACAGAGGCCTTAGTAGAACCACTGACATTCCATACACTACCTGGATAGCTTCCTCACATGAAAGGATCTAAAGTCTCTGTCTGGATTTGAACCCACAGCATTGAGGGGAATTTCTTTATGTAGTAGCATATACTTATCTGCTTTTAATATAATACCTACAATTGAGGAATACAAGTGTACCAGGGATGGCAACAGACAATTTTGAAAAAAGAGGAAAATTAAACCCGAGGGGTCATGCAGGTCCAGGGCAGAGCCCTAGTTGGGGATCAGGGGGCGAAGCCCCTGGGTTTTCATCCTTTTCAGATGGTCTAAAATGCATTTCCTTTTAGTGCTTTATCAAATCTTTTCATTTACTGATATTGTATTACCAAATCAAAATCGTCACCAATGTGGACGGTTGTCTCGGTTGATCCGATATTCACATTTACTGTGTTCTCTAACCATTTCAAATTAAACTTATTTTTAACATTTTTGTCACAGTCTTTGATCTTCGAAGCGTTGTTGGAGTTAATTGCTGCCATTATTTATGTAAAAAATATCTTTCATGCTAATCGGCCGACATTTTGTTTTGCTTTCTTCAACTACAGAAAGACGCTATGATTGGTCGGTATATTTAACACTATCGTTCATTGGCTTACTATAATAGCGACAATCACTGAACATACCCGAAAAGCGGTACAGTCTAAATATTTACGGTACGGTGTAAACATTTACAATCGGCAGACAATAGACGGTAGCAAACTCGGCTAAAGAGACCCCCACCCCCCAAATTTTCTCCTCGAATTTACATCGTTCTCAAAAGTGGTTCGAGGAACTCGAAATCCAAGGATTTCCGCAGATCTGCGGAAAATTGGCATCCCTGGTGTACTTATATTTTCTCCAATCCAATTATAAATTTTGGAGTGCTGCCAGCAATCATGACTCGCACTTTGCTAATACTCAATCTCAATGATGGAGTGACCATCCTTTATATGGTTTTTCCTTGTGTATTTTCTTTTCATTTATGAACCCACTCATTACATACAGTACTGGTTAAAGGGACTCAACATTAATTTTTTCACATGAAGGGAATGGAAATAATTTTTGGGGATTTATGTTCTATTTGATCTTGACCAATAACTTTAAAATTGCTTAATTTTTACAGCATAATCATTCTTATCAAGAATCAACGACACAAAATTGTTAATCGTTGCAACGCTAGGAATGGCACAAAAATAGAATTTTAAATCTATTTCCAACAATATTTCTAATCCTCCTCATATAATTCTATTTTAAGTGCCACATTTGACCTATGTGAAAAATGTAATGTTTCTATGCTTCAGTCATGTTCCTTTAAAATACACACAAACAAGATATGTTTGTAAAACATGTATGCCCCCTATCAGCAGCCAATTAGTCATGTGAAAAGGTTATTAAGCATGACTTCTGACCCAGTGATCAAACAATTAATAAGGGTTATCAAGTATCTACTGGTCATGACCTTAACCTTTGACCCCTTGACCCAAAACTCAATAGGGGTCATCTGCTGGTCACGACCAATCATCATACAAAGTTTGAAGTTCCTAGGCCTAAGCGTTTTTAGTTAATTGATCGGAAACCGTTTTAACATACAAGGTCAATGTGACCTTGACCTTTGACCCCTTGACCCCAAAATCAATAGGTCATCCGCTGGTCATGACCAATCACCATACCATGTTTGAAGTTCCTAGGCCAAAGGGTTCTTAAGTTATTGATTTGAAAGCATTTTTACCTACAAGGTCAATGTGACCTTGCCCTTTGACCCCTTAACCCTTATATCAATAGGGGTCATCTACTGGTCATGACCAATCACCATACCAAGTTTGAAGTTCCTAGGCTTAAGGGTTCTTTAGTTATTGATCGGAAACCGTTTTTACCTAAGAGGTAAATGTGACCTTGACCTTTGACCCCTTGACCCCAAAATCAATAGGGGTCATCTACTGATCATGACCAATCACCATATCAAGTTTGAAGTCCCTAGGCCTAAGGGTTCTTTCGTTATTGATCGGAAACCGTTTTTACCTACAAAGTCAATGTGACCTTGACCTTTGACCCCTTAACCCCAAAATCAATAGGGGTCATCTGCTGGTCATGACCAATCACCATACCAAGTTTGAAGTTCCTAGGCCTAAGGGTTCTTTCGTTATTGATCGGAAATCGTTTTTACCTACAAGATCAATGTGACCTTGACCTTTGACCCCTTAACCCCAAAATCAATAGGGGTCATCTGCTGGTCATGACCAATCACCATACCAAGTTTAAAGTTCCTAGGCCTAAGGGTTCTTTTGTTAATGATCAGAAACCGTTTTTACCCAAGAGGTCAATGTGACCTTGACCTTTGACCCCTTGACCCAAAAATCAATAGGGGTCATCTACTGATCATGACCAATCACCATACCAAGTTTGAAGTTCCTAGGCCTTAATGTTCTTAAGTTATTGATCAGAAACTGTTATTGCTTACAAGGTAAATGTGACCTTGACCTTTGACCCCTTGACCCCAAAATCAATAGGGGTCATCTACTGATCATGACCAATCACCATACCAAGTTTGAAGTTCCTAGGCCTTAAAGTTCTTTAGTTATTGATTGGAAACCGTTTTTGCTTACAAGGTCAATGTGACCTTGACCTTTGACCTCTTGACCCCAATATCAATAGGGATCATCTACTGATCATGACCAATCACCATACCAAGTTTGAAGTTCCTAGGCCTTAAGGTTCTTTAGTTATTGATTGGAAACCGTTATTGCTTACAAGGTCAATGTGACCTTGACCTTTGACCCTTTGATCCCAAAATCAATAGGGGTCATCTACTGGTCATGACCAATCACCATACCAAGTTTGAAGTTCCTAGGCCTTAAGGTTCTTTAGTTATTGATCGGAAACCGTTTTTGCTTACAAGGTAAATGTGACCTTGACCTTTGACCCCTTGACCCCAAAATCAATAGGGGTCATCTACTGGTCATGACCAATCACCATACCAAGTTTGAAGTTCCTAGGCCTAAGGGTTCTTTAGTTATCACTCGGAAACCATTTGGTCTACGGACCGACGGACCGACTGACCAACGGACCGACAAGTGCAAAGCAATATACCCCCTTTTCTTCGAAATGGGGGCATAATAATCATCCAAAATGACAAACAATTGTCGGGTGTGTTTAAAATTTATTCAACAAAACACATTGTTTTAATATACTATATTATTTCTTAATAATCTACCGTACCTCTCGCAGTAAGTTTTTATACAAGTATACAATAAATTACACAATAATATTTATATCATTAACATATCTCAAACATACTACCCCTTCGTATGTAACAAACAAAAACAAATCAACAGCTTCTGGGGGGAGTAAAAAAGCACAGCTTCTCTAAAAGATCAGAACTAATGACAACCAGAGTATTTTATACTTTTAAGAAAAAATTCTGGTCATTTATTTAAAGTCTCAAACACGGCAGTAATATTCCTGGAGTGTATACCCGTACTGGTTTATTCTACAAGTACTGAAAAATTCTCTGAAAGTACTGACTTAAACTTACAAGAACTGACTCATTATCTGTACTGACTTGACTACACCAGTACTGACTCTTTACCTGTACTGACTACTAGTGCTGGATTTACCAGTACCGAACAATTTCCAGTACTGACTTTACTTTATCAATACTTACTTTCAATACCAGTACTGACTTTACTTACTAGTACTGACTTTATTAACCAGTACTAACTTTACATGCCAGTACTTTTTTATCAGTACTGACTTTTTACCAGTACTAGCTTTACATGCCAGTACTAACTGTTTTCTACCTGTAGAGTCATATTTGAACAAGCATTGACCTGTTTTTGAATAATAAAGTAGCTGCCAAGTTCCTACCTGCAGGATTGTAGTGAAATGGCAAAAAAATTGAGGTTTAAAAGTACTTTATTAAAGTATAAAATAAACCTAGTGACTGTGTTGTGAGGGAACAATAAATATTCAAACAAATGAATTAGACAATTATTATCTTTGACAAATTTTCAAAATCACATATAACTGAAACACTGTCTCAAGAAAGAAAGAAAGCAAAAAAAAAAAAAAAAAAAAAAAAAATAAAAAAAAAAAAAAAAAAAAAAATATTTTTATTAATTATAAATGAGGTAAGCAGTTACAACCTCTAAGAACCTGTGTGGAGAAAACATCTGTATCTATTGCAAAAATTTCTAAACTAACAGGAAAAATACATACAACAGTCTCGGCAGAAAAAAAATATTTGACATACACACACAAATAAACAAAACAAAAAAATCATGTTTGTTTTTTTTATATTTTTTTCTATAATACCTTGAGTATATTACAAATGAGATTTCAATATGATGTTTGCGGTACACACCTTCTGTATAAATAACATCTTAATAAACATTAGTTTAGTTTGACAAATATTTATCATTTATGTTTCATTAAAGCTTTACTGTGATAAAGGGCTTGAAACACTCTCCCGCCCCCAATTCCTGGGACTTAACCAGTACTTATAAGGAAACAAGGTCATGACCTTGGCAAGGCTCGAACCCATGCTACCTGGGTTGAGAGGCAGACACCTTAACCACTAAGCCACTGATACCCTTTGATGTTATTAAATGACATGAACACTTCACTATTTAATACTTTTTTTGGTACACTTGTACATTAGTACCAACTCAATCTGCATTATCAAAACATTTTTTTTATATATAAAATTAACATAAAAATGGAGACTCAAATTCTTAGTAGTCAATTTAAAGTCAATTCTCTAAAATCAATTGTTTATATATACCGTTACCTAAGTAAAGAAGATAAAGATTAAAGGATTTCTGAATCCTCAGTACATGAAGTGATTTAAAATAGTTTACAAATAAAATATAACACAAAAAATCAATAAAAATATCAATAAAAATAAACGAAAAAGAACTCATTTGGTTGTCTGTTTTAAAGCTACAGAAAATCTTGTGATGTTTGAGCATATTTTTTCATAAATAAAGAATGGATTTCTTAAATCTGAGTAATACAATCTTTTTTGTTCTTTAATTACAAAATTTTTTTTTTAACATCATATACATGCTGTCAATATTATGCTTATGTGTAAAACAATATTCTTGGATTTTTTTTTGGGGATAATTACCTATTTCATTATACATCAAAAATGATAATTGAACAATTGAAATATGTGCATGTAACTGTGAAGGAACACATTTCAATTTTTCGATGAAAATCAAATAATTCAGATGATACAATTTCTATTATGATTGGGAAATATTATGTCTACATAGTAAACAAACTCAACTAAATTTATTTTATAAATAAATAAATTGAACTAAATAAACACTTGTTTTAGTAAATAAATCAGTTAAAAGAAACATTAATACATGTATTGGTATAAGACTTTATGATTGTTAAATGAATGAAAGAAACGAACACATTTACCCTATTAGTAGATTTTGTTGACAGATATTAGACAACTGCCTTATATTCATCAATAGTGGAACTTCTTAAATGCCAAATTATCATCTTGGAACTATGTCTAAAAAAAGTAACAGTCCATGTAAAATGTACATGTAAAGCAGAACAGATGAAACGTGTATCAATACGTGTATCAATACATTATTCCTAACAACACTATATTTCTTAAATGGACTTGTCCATCTTTCAATCTGGACACAACCATTTATCATTTTTTAGGGAAAATTTCAAAACAATTTCAAACATTTAAAACATACTGACTGAAGAAAGAACAACAGTGCAGACAGCATTGAATGTGCAGATCTAAGTCTGCGCACTGGTCACATGGTTAGAATTTTCTGCCGTCAGCAGGTTGCGGGATATGATAAACTAAAGATTATGAAGAAATGAAAAATAATACAATGCAAAGCCTATCAAAATCATTTTGAACTTTTCAGTCACTAATTGTAATATCCCATACTATGGAAAAATTGGTAAAAGCAGGTACTAATATTTCAACATTTTCCTCAAAAATTATAACTAACATTTCAAAAAAATTTGCAAATTCTTAAAAAATGAACAAAGACCTACATGTATGTAGAAAAGGTTTAATTTTTTTTAAATTGTGTATTTTGTCCTATGACAGAAAGTTATATAAAAAATCTTAACTTGGAAACCATAATGGACACCACATCACCATAATAATTTTAGAAGGCATTATGAACAAACAAAATTTAAAAAGAAGAAAAATAATGTCAACACATAAACTAAAACCTAGAACTCATCATGAATATAAAATATATGATAAAACACAAGGCTATTTATAAACTTAAAATCTATTTATAGATTCTGAAGTCTATTTATAGATTCTGAAGTCTATTTATAGATTCTTAAGTCTATTTATAGAATTGATATTCTATTTATAGACCAAATGTGAACCCGCACATGTAAACTTATTCTTTTGGTATTAAAACTCATCTTGAATGACTTTTAAATCAAAATTTTACAAATGAAGCTTCGAAACAATAGAAATGTGTCTAAAATAAGTGTTGTAAAAATAAAATTTCATGTAAAACTGACACTGATTATTACATAAAAATGTGATAATGAATCGTACATAAGAATGATAACAATATCTAAGAGACAAAGTAAAAACCTGTCTTGTCTTGTTTATAGAAAATTCTTACATAGTCAAAAGATGAAAAATACTTGAAATATTATTACTTAAAATCTTGATATGTATAATCTAAAAGAACAATTATCGACATACAAAACGTCCATCTTTACTGTCGGCATCGGCTAATAACTTGAATGGTTTAGATGAAATATAAACATATCACCAATGTTATAATTATTTTCTTAATATCTTTATCCCTTACTCAGTATGATTTTCTGTTTTTCACAAACCCTGTTGTTACAGATAAAGATATATATAAATAAAATACTAGTAAATGATGGTATTTACAAATGTTAAATGGTGTCACTTCTCAAACATATTTCAATAGTCTGATAGTTTGGTAAAAGAACAAATTTTTGACTGCTTTAAAATTGATAAATAAATGCAAAGGAACAATAGTTTAACGATATACATTATTTACAAGAACAGCAATTTTACATCATAAAAGTTTAACCAATGTAAGTTGAAATTACTCAAAACAAATTTTATCACAGAATTATGTAGATAGCTTCAACACTAGCATAAACTCAGGTATTAGATAAATGTTGTAAACTTTGTTTACAACACATTTAACTTACCTACTGTGTCTACACTTTTTTTTTCTTTAATTAAAACATACTTTCTGGATTTATACATGTGTAAATATGTGCACTACCAACTTAGGCAGTTTCACAGTGGAACATAAACATGTATAAGCTACAGTCTGTGATAATACTAACCCATTATAATTCTGTTCTTCAGCCGGCTTAAATAACAAGTTGTCAACTACTCGTATAACATTAAAATACTTAACAATTCAATCATAATAACTCTTACAAAAAGATCAAACTTATTCACAAAAGGAACTTTCCTATTGATCAACATTATCAACATTACATTTTTCATACAGAAAACGTTTTTTATCCACAAATATACCCAGATATTTTTTAACATATAAACAAACGTATTTTGCCAACACCACTATAAATAAGAACCATTTTTGCAAGGATATTCCAACAATTTAACTGTCATTTACCACTTAAATTTGATTATTCCAGCCAATTAAACTATTCACATACTAATAACCTCTTTAAATTTGATATTCTAAACCAATTAAACTATTAACATGTCACTTAAATTTGAATATTCCAACCAATTAAACTATTCACATACCACTTTAATATGAATATTCCAGCCAATTTAACTATTCACATACCATTGATTTGAATATTCCAGCCAATTAAACTATTCACATACCATTAATTTGAATATTCCAGCCAATTAAACTACATGCATAATGTTTTAATCTTAAAACAGGAGGTCAGCTATCACTACAATTTACATGAATAATATTCAATAAAAGGTCTGGCTATCACATTCTTTTACATGAATCATATTCAAGTAATACTCTGATTATCACATTCCTTTACATGAATAATTATGGTGTAAGGAAGTCCAGTTAACAAATTCCTTCATATTAAAATTATTCATGTTAGTCTAGAAATCACATTCTTCTATATGCATTATATTCATATAACAGTCCTGATATCACATTGCCTTACATGGGTAATATTCATGTAAAAGTCCAGCTACCACACTTATTCACTAAAAAATGATATTTTTAATAACTCATCAAATGAGAATAATATTTATGTCTGGATATTACATACTTTTACATAAATAATATTCCAAGTACAATAGTTTTTTTACATAGGTATTAATAAAGTAGAAAATCTGTCTTTTACCACCATGTTTACCTACAAAATGATGATATTTATTTAAAAGGCCCTACATTATTCATGTAAAGGTCCTATTCCCACACTCTTGTAACATGCATAATAGGTTCAGTTATCAGGTTCATTTACATGAATAATGTTCATTCATGTAATTGTTGCTATCATTTTAATTTACATTGACAAAATTCATAAAAAAAATCCTATTTTCACTTTCATTTACATGAATATTAGTATACAGATGAAACACATATTATTCATGTAAAAGGCTGACTGTACTTGTACAAAATTCAAGTAAAGCTCTTGTTATCATCTTGAGATAATTAACAACTTCTTTTCCTGACTAACTACAGATGAACATGTCAAAAAAGTGACTCCTAAACTTTACGTTGAAAAGATCATGTCAAGATTGTTTACATAGAAATTTGACATCGTCAAGGTTAAACCAAGTCCAGATTGTTTACACAGAAACATATGACATCAAGTTACACTATGTCAATATTGTTTATGCAGTAACTTTACGTCGTCAAGCTACACAAAGTCCAGAATGTTTACATAGAAACTTTACATCGTCAAGTTTCACAAAGTCCAAAATGTTTACACAGAAAAAATTTATGTCGTCAAGTTTAAACATGTCCGTACTGTTTTTTTTACACAGAAACTTTACGTTGTCGAGTTTCATTAAATCCAGATTGTTTACACTGAAACTTTACGTCGTCGAGTTTCACTATCACTAGGAGGGTCAACAAAGATGGCGGGGGCCTTGATGAGTTCATGGGTATCTTCTTTATCACTATCTTCTTCATCAATATAAAATGCCACGCCCTTCTTCGCTTTATGAGGATCCTTTTCTGTCGGGGAATGAGGAATTGTGGGTAATCCGTGAGAGTCTTTCTTATGACGTTTCTTATGTTTTCTGAAAAAAATGAGATGTGTAACATATTTAACAACATAATTCACTACACATTAATATAATTACATATACTTTATTACACACAAAATTAATACACTTCACATAATATTTTTACCCGTTTTTAATCTATTTTGTATTCAAAAAGGATAAGTAATCACTTTCATTAGACATGTATTTACTTTAACATAGATTTACTTAATAATTTCATTTTTGTGGTACATGATAAGTTTTCAAATTTCAAAAAGAAAAAGTGGCATATAGTGCACATAAATATTGTGAAGAAATAAAATAACCAAATATGGTAAATTTTGTAAATAGACACCATTATGTTCTTAAATGATGAAACGTGAAAAATAGACTTTTCTAAATTATCCTTTATAACTTTTTAATTTATGAACAGCTTCTACAAAAACTAAATGAATAGCTAACAAAACGAGTAAGTTTACCTTTAAACATTTATAAACATTTATTAAGGAGCCATAACTCTTACCAAAAAAAAAAAGAATATAAACGGAAAGCTATGCTGATGGGAAAAAGAAAAAAATCTATGAAAGTCTATACTCCTTTTTTATTAACTTATTTTTCAAAAACTTTTCCAGCTTAACTGGTAGAGGAAGACTTAACTGGTGCTCGTTTGTACATTATTATTTCAGACAAGAATGTGCACCTAAGTAGAACCATGGAAGTTCTGTGAGCTAGCTAGATAGCTTCCTCGCATGACAGAATCCAAAGTTCCTGGGCAAGATTTGCACCCACAGAGGTGTTGGGTGAGTGGTCTATAGTCTAGTGTTTCCGATGCAAGCCTACAACTTTTACTCATAACACATTAACTTCAACAGAAATGTGACATTGCTAAAACTGAATGGTAATGTAATACAATAACAAGGTGTCATTACTCTTAAAAAGAAAAAAATCTAACTAAAATTTAACATCAAGACATTTAAACTTGTAAAACTTAACATCTGTGCACCATTTAAAACTGAAAGACACAAAATTATTCCTACATCTAGAATTTGTGCTGTCCTCACCAATTTCTTGTTTAAGTATTATTAGGATAATGGCAGGGGCAATAACTTTTATTAAGCGCAATTACTTTCATGAAGCGCAATAACTTTTATGAATTTCCCTTCACTCTTTGGTTATATTTGGTTATACCAAATATAAAGTGGGATGGACGATAACTTTTATGAATTTCCCTATATTCTTTGTTAATTCTGAGAATATAATATCAGGGCAATAACTTTGAGGAATTTCCCTATATTTTTGTTTATTCCAAATACATAATGAAAGGGACAATAACTTTTATGAATTTCCCTATTCAAAACATATAATGGCAGGAGCAATAACATTTGTGAATTTTCCTATATTCTTTATTTATTCCAAATATATAATGGCAGGGGCAATAACTTTTATGAATTTCCCTATATTCTTTGTTTATTCAAAATACATAATGGCAGGGGCAATAACTTTAATGAATATCCCTATATTCTTTGTTTATTCCAAATATATAATGGTAGGGGCAATAACTTTAATGAATATCCCTATATTCTTTGTTTATACCAAATATAAAATGGCAGGAGCAATAACTTTTATGAATTTCCCTATATTCTTTGTTTATTCTGAGAATATAATATCAGGGCAATAACTTCCCTATATTTTTGTTTATTTCAAATACATAATGAAAGGGACAATAACTTTTATGAATTTCTCTATATTCTTTGTTATTCTTTGTTTATTCAAAACATATAATGGCAGGAGCAATAACATTTGTGAATTTTCCTATATTCTTTGTTTATTCCAAATATATAATGGCAGGGGCAATAACTTTTATGAATTTCCCTATATTCTTTGTTTATTCAAAATATATAATAGCAGGGGCAATAACTTTCATGAATTTCCACATATCCTTTGTATATACCAAATATATAATGGCAGGGGCAATAACTTCTATGAATTTCACTATATTCTTTGTTTATACCAAATATAAAATCAAACCTATTTGCAAGAGCTATGAAGAGGACACATGCAATACAACCTAAATAGAGCAAGACCCAAAGGGAGATAAAGGTTCTTGTTGCTTCTGAGAGGTGTTGCCTTAGACAGGTTAAATTTATTGAGAATGTTTACTTAGGAAAGAAATAGCACTATTGTTATAAAGAGGTGATTGCTCAACAGAGGGCCCACTATGCAGGGGTGTACACTGTATTTTGTATCTTTCAACCTTAAATCGGCCCTGAAACTTTTACATTAATAAATGAATGTGCTAAAATCATATGAATCTAACAAAATAGTCATCCTTGTCTGACATCATTAAACATGCAACATTCTTTTTTGTTTTTGTTTTTGCGATTACCTTTTAACCTTTAAAACAACAGGAAGTCCATGTGGTAGATCTCTACAAAAATGTTCATAAAGATATAATACTGAATTAATGATTTTTCTTTGAATTCTATGACACTTATTTTCAGTGAAGTGAAAATATATGTTCATAAATAAATATTAGATTATAATTGCATTTCTTTTAATTCTATGGCATATTTTTGTCAATTAAGTGGGTGAATATTAAGGCAAACACAATTAAACAAAGTTTCCACTATAAATTAAGCGTTATTCATTTATTGAAATCCAAACAAACCAGAGTGAATGAATAATGTACCAGATATTTGTTACACTAGCTATCCTTATGAGCAAGTGTCAGCATGACCTTTTATAACAAGGCATGAACTTGACCTTTAAAACAAGGCATGAACTTGACCTTTAAAACAAGGCATGAACTTGACCTTTAAAACAAGGTGTCAACATAATCTTTTTTAAGTAAGTGTCAGCATGACCTATTAAACTTAGATATCAATATGACCTCTAGCAGTAACAATATATGCTAGGGTAAATGCCTATAAAAACCACTAAAGCATACTGTTATCTTATGGTATACATTAATAAAGGGCTTTCTGTGTGTATGTATAATAAAATTCTAGCAGCTAGGGGTTTGCCAAATAATCCATTCACTATAGAAAAAAAGTCAAAGAATCAAACTATCTATGAAATAATTCAGCAATATTCATAGAACAATTTAGTACCAAAATAAAAATTCAAATACAGAAATGCTTTGGGAATTATGATCAAATTTTGTTTATTATAGGTTAAAATCTTTTTGCAGTAAAAATCTATTTATAGCACATGACATGAATCAGTTATACAATAGGTTCCCTATGGTTATGTTTTGCAGCTTGATATTTTCATAACTTCAGTTATATCCATATTACTCACTTAATACATATAATTTATGTCATCAAGTTGTTTTATTCATATTGGCACAAAATTTAAAATGATCTTTTTTGGTTTGCATGTATAACAATAATAATACATTATTATCTGGCAGGGGAGGGAAATACATGTAAACTAAGCAAACTTGTGCAGTGGTTACTTCCCTTGATCAGTACAAGAACAAAGTATTAAGAAACCATTGCTAGGAGTTTGGTGACTAGGTAGCTAAGATTTACAGCATTTCGTTTTATAATCTAGAACAGGTGGGGCATAAAAATCATCATTTATAGTATTTAGCCTACTTTCCTGTGTTACATATATTTCCTTACCTTTTTATTTACAATTTATTCATCCTAAAACATCTTTAAAACATTATAAAAATTTAGTATCTTATTCAGCAGAAAACCTACATGTATAACTATATATTACTGGTTGATAATGACCATGTTTACGTTAACTTTCTACCTGTTAAATCAAGCTTTCTGAAAAAGCAGTGACATCATTGTTTTCTGAAAAGCAAAGCTGGGGTTGCCTTCATAACAATAAATTCAATTTATAAGCATGAATTTCATTATTATTATTATACAGCCCAAATTTACTTGGGAATAGCTTGAGTTTAATATAAAGAATTGAGATTGAAAACTCATTTTGGACACCACTTACCAAAATGTTTCAATTAAACAGAACAATATCAAGTCCAGTTTTCATTTTTCCATTTCTCGTCTGTGACCTTATACAAAGTCCATAAAATTTAATACAATAAAACGCATTATCATAGATCTATTATCAACATCCATAAGCATACAGAATTCTCCTACAAGAGTTACATACCTTTTACTGCTGCCACTACCGTTGCTATGACTACTAGGCGTCTCGCCCACACCCTGATGTTCGTTAGATTGAAGGTTTTTCCATATTTGGCATTTTGCCACCTCCTCTGTAATATTAACCTGATTAACGAAGCTGTCGTTTCCGCCGTTAATAGCAATGTTAATGATAGACGCTTGTGGTTTAAAATTGACCATCTCGTTACCACTCGCATTTTTAGGATCCAACAACGTTTCACACTCCTACAGAAATAATTTTATCTTATTTAAACAATATTTTATAATGATTGTGATGCAAGCTTGTAAGCTTTTTAAAACAGCTTTCAAGTCAGTAAACTTTAAATTGAGAAAAGTTAAAGAAGTTACAGTTGACTCTCAATAAGTCAAAATCGCTTTACTCAAAATTCCGCCTAAGTCGAATAATTTCTAAAGTCCCGTCAAATTTCCTTCTTTATCTTTGTATTTTAACTCCGCTTAGGTCAAATTTTGACTAACCGAGACTCCTGTTTAGTCGAAAAGAAAATTTTGTCCCGTCAATTAAAGTCCACATATTTTCATCTCAATAAGTCGAAGTGTGAAAACAGCCGACTGATCAAAGGTCGGCGACAACAAGGTGAGATGTTGTCACTCGTGATTTACACGTTTCATAGTAATTTTTAATTGCCGGTCATCATGTATTATCAACACGTCGTAAAAGTGTCTTTAATCCGTTTCACGACTTAATTGGTTTTAACAGTTAGATAACTAAATTAAATTTAATTACATTTCTTTAAAAAAGTTGACTCGTGCAAGTCTGACGGGTGTTAGTCAAATAACAGCCTAGTCAAATAACAGCCTAGGTATTGATGTGTATTATCAACGTAAATGATATTTGTATAATTAATGTTCCGTCAAATTGCATACATTAATTTGTACTTCCGGTTCACGATAGTTGCTAATTTCGTTTTCGTCCGATGATCAATTAAATCAATAATAATTGTGTGTTTATGTTTCACTATTAATATACATGTATTAAATTTTGAATGATATATTTTTGTTCATTTATAATTTGTAGTTGAAAGTGATTTACCGTCATTTCAATGGTTAAATATTGCAGCATTGCCGCTAACAACAATAAGAAACCTACTTTTTTGCACATTCAATCAGGTACATGTATATACATGTACGAAGTCAACGTAATGGCGGTAGTTCAACGTTACTCGAATTCCGTTTCTCTCGAAGTAAAATACCTAGTCCCTTGGATTTCGAGTTACCGAGAGTCAACTGTATTATGTTAACAAGAGGGCCATGATGGCCCTGAGGTTGCTCACCTGTATAATGGCCCCTGGAGCGGGGCCAGTTTAAACCCCAGGGCTTTTATTTGAACAAACTTGAAAGACACTCATTAGAAGATGTTTCACAATGTTAAGTTTGTTAAGTTTTTACTACACACATATAATGAAAAACAATGACCTGCCCCCCCCCCCCTCCGGCAGGGCCAATTTTCACCCGAGGGCTTTTATTTGAACAAACTTGGTAGACACCCATAAGAAGATGTTTCATGCTAAACATCTAAGCTCTAGCTCATTGGGTTTTTTAAAAGAAGTTATTTTAAGTTTTTACTATACACATATAGTTAAAAACAATGACACCCCTGGGGCGGGGCCAGTTTTGACCCCAGGGCTTTTATTTGAACAAACTTTGTAGACACTTACTAGAAGATGTTTCATGCTGAATATCTAAACTCTAGCTATTTGGGTTTTTTCAAAGAAGATTTTTAAGTTTTTGCTATACACATATAAGGAAAATCAATGACCCCCAGGTGTGGGGCCAATTTTGACCCCAGGGCTTTTATTTGAACAAACTTTGTAGACACTCACTAGAACATGTTTCATGCTTAATATCTCAACTCTAGCTATTTGGGTTTTTTCAAAGAAGATTTTTTAAGTTTTTGCTATACACATATAATGAAAATCAATGACCCCTGGGGCAGGGCCAATTTTGACCCCAGGGCTTTTATTTGAACAAACTTGGTAGACACCCATTAGAACATGTTTCATGCTAAATATCTTAGCTCTAGCTCTTTGAGTTCTTTAAGAGAAGATTTTTTAAGTTTTTACTATATGCATATAGGGAAAATCAATGACCCCCTCGGGCAGGGCCAATTTTGACCCCCAGGGCTTTTATTTGAACAAACTTGGTAGACACTCATTAGAAGATGTTTCATGCAAAATATCTTAGCTCTAGCTCTTTGGGTTCTTTAAAAGAAGATTTTTTAAGTTTTTACTATATGCATATAGGGAAAATCAATGACCCCCTAGGGCGGGGCCAATTTTGACCCTAGGGCTTTTATTTGAACAAACTTGGTAGACACTCACTAGAAGATGTTTCATGCCAAATATCTAAGCTCTAGCTCTTAGGGTTTTTTAAAAGAAGATATTTAAAGTTTTTTCTTTCGGTTGCCATGGCAACCAGAGTTCTGCATGGAATTAAATTCTTTGAACAATTTTTAAAGGTGACCACCAAAGGAACATTCCTGTGAAGTTTGGATGAAATTGGCTTAGTGGTTTATGAGGAGATGTCATTTAAAGTAAAAGTTTACGGATGGACGACGGCCGGACGACGGACAGACGCCGGCCGGACGCCGGATGAAAAGCGATCACAAAAGCTCACCCTGTCACTTTGTGACAGGTGAGCTAAAAATTAAATAAATAAAAGTGGAGTTGTATCAATTCCAGTGCAGTTAAGATTGCTACACTAACAGGGCGGACAAAATGGCAACCATAAGCATCCCCATTGAGGAGCTTAAAAAAAATCAGATGTACAGAGAAAAAATGTCAGATGTACAGAGGAAAAATGTCAGATATACGGAGGAAATTTTTTAGATGTACAGAGAAAAAATGTCAGATGTACAGAGGAAAAATGTCAGATGTACAGAAGGAAAAATGTCAGATATACGGAGGAAAAATGTCAGAAGTACGGAAAAATGTCAGATGTACAGAGGAAAAATGTCAGATGTACAAACGGAAAATGTCAAGATGTACGGAGGAAAATGTCAGATGTATGGAGGAAAAATGTCAGATGTATGGAGGAACAAGAGGGCCATGATGGCCCTGAGGTCGCCCACCTGTATAGAGGCCTCTGGAGCGGGGCCAGTTTAAACCCAAGGGCTTTTATTTGAACAGACTTGGAAGACACCCATTAGAAGATGTTTCATGATGTTTAGTTTTTACTACACACATATAATGAAAAACAATGACCTGCCCCCCCCCCCCCCTCTGGCAGGGCCAATTTTAACCTAAGGGCTTTTATTTGAACAAACTTGGTAGACACCCATAAGAAGATGTTTCATGCTAAATATCTAAGCTCTAGCTCATTGGGTTTTTTTAAAAGAAATTTTTTTATGTTCTTACTATACACATATAAGGAAAATCAATGACCCCCGGGGCGGGCCAGATTTTGACCCCAGGGCTTTTATTTGAACAAACTTTGTAGACACTCACTAGAAGATGTTTCATGCTTTATATCTAAACTCTAGCTATTTGGGTTTTTTCATAGAAGATTTTTGAAGTTTTTGCTATACACATATAAGGAAAATCAATGACCCCCGGGCGGGGCCAATTTTGACCCCAAGGCATTTATTTGAACAAACTTGGTAGACACACATTAGGACATGTTTCATGCTAAATATCTTAGCTCTAGCTCTTTGAGTTCTTTCAAAGAAGATTTTTTAAGTTTTTACTATATGCATATAGGGAAAATCAATGACCCCCTGGGGCGGGGCAAATTTTGACCCCAGGGCTTTTATTTGAACAAACTTGGTAGACACTCATTAGAAGATGTTTCATGCTAAATATCTTAGCTCTAGCTCTTTGGGTTCTTTAAAAGAAGATTTTTTAAGTTTTTACTATATGCATATAGGGAAAATCAATGACCCCCTGGGGCAGGGCCAATTTTGACCCCAGGGCTTTTATTTGAACAAACTTGGTAGACACTCACTAGAAGATGCTTCATGCCAAATATCTAAGCTCTAGCTCTTTGGGTTTTTTAAAAGAAGATATTTTAAGTTTTTTCTTTTGGTTGCCATGGCAACCAGAGTTCTGCATGGAATTAAATTCTTTGAACAATTTTTAAAGGTGACCACCAAAGGAACATTCCTGTGAAGTTTGGATGAAATTGGCTTAGTGGTTTATGAGGAGATGTCATTTAAAGTAAAAGTTTACGGACGGACGCCGGATGAAAAGCGATCACAAAAGCTCACCCTGTCACATTGTGACAGGTGAGCTAAAAATGTCAGATCTACGGAGGAAGAAGATGAACACTTACATCGTGATGCTCCTGAATCTCTATTTCTTTGTCGTCTTTTTCTCGTTTACTTATTTCCGGCATGATGTCATCCAGCCATTTAAGTTCGTACTGGGTAAACACGTAATCAAGTGCCTTACGAATAAAACACATTGCCAGCACCTGGAATATGAAAATATTATAACCTTGTATATATTTTTTCCACATAAATCAAAATAAACAATTGTGCTATAGATGTTTTTCACATTGCAATAATTACCTCCCCTGGCCGCCATTTTGGGGGTCATTCCCAATATATATTATATGCCTAAGATAAGATAATATATCTCATAATTCTATCTTTTTCATGAAAACTGAATGAAAATCTATTACATACTGGTCCAAAAAAATAAGACAAAACCATTATTTAAGACCCAATGAAAATGTCCTTCTTAACAATACCACAAAATTTCATGCCCACAAAATAAAATGACTTCACAGTAATAACAGAATATACATACCATAATAGGGAAAGCAATGGAGATTTCCTTGATTGTTTTTATCACCCATAACATCACCAAACAAAGTGCCTGAAATCAAATCAAGTTGTTTCATAATTTTCGCAAGCAAAAGTTTTGTAAGTTCTTATATTGCATGAAAATAAAATGTTGAATTGGTGCAGTGGATTTGCCCAGCTTAGAATTTGGAACAGTCCATTTGAATTTTAAGGGTACATGTAATACTCATTAGCAAAATGCAAAAATTTTGGCTACCAACACAATAGAGCCTGGTCAAACTGCATGGATGTGCAGGATGGCCTGGCTCTATACTAGTGACAAATGCTGTTCACTTTTGATTCCAGCTAGGTAAGGGTTTGGCAATGTAGATTAAATAAATAACTAAGAATCTGTTGAAATATCAAATAGAGAAAATAAGAATCCTTAAAGAACGTTTAAAATGGCAAAGTTGAAAATGTTGCAGGTTGGTTTTCATTAATCCTGTTCATGAACGGTACTGGTAAATGCAAGCTATCGTCAAAGCCCCCTAGCACCAGCTTAATACATATTAATTCACCAATTTACAAAATGCTATTACAATGTAAAGAAATGTTGTAAAAATCAAGCACCTGAATGAATGTGAAGAAATGAACTCTTCGTGTTCTGACATGACGAAGGTACGTATAGTCAGGTTGATATTTCATCGGCATGAAGAGTATCATGATACGATTCATAAGCTGCATGCCCTTCAACGACGATATACCCATATACAAGAATACCCCGTACAACACGGCCATTGGAATTGAACTGAAAGATAATCAAAATATGATGATCATGATAAGCTTCCGTAAAGTGTATAAACAAAAGAGCACCAACAAGAGGGCCATGATGGCCCTGGGGTCGCTCACCTGTATATAGGCCCCCGGAGCAAGGCTAGTTTAAACCCCAGGGCTTTTATTTGAACAAACCTGGAAGACACCCATTAGAAGATGTTTCATGATGTTAAGTTTTTACTACACACATTTAATAAAAAAAACAATGACCTCCCTTCCCTCCCCCCCCCCCGGGCAGGGCCAATTTTAACCCCAGGGCTTTTATTTGAACAAACTTGGTAGACACCTATTAGAAGATGTTTCATGCTTTAAATCTAAGTTCTACCTCATTCGGTTTTTTAAAAGAAGATTTTTTAAGTTTTTACTATACACATATAGTTAAAAACAATGACACCCCTGGGGTGGGGCCAGTTTTGACCCCAGGGCTTTTATTTGAACAAACTTTGTAGACACTTACTAGAAGATGTTTCATGCTTAATATCAAAACTGTAGCTATTTGGGTTTTTTCAAAGAAGATTTTTTAAGTTTTTACTATACACATATAGTTAAAAACAATGACACCCCTGGGGCGGGGCCAGTTTTGACCCCAGGGCTTTTATTTGAACAAACTTTGTAGACACTTACTAGAAGATGTTTCATGCTTAATATCTAAACTCTAGCTATTTGGGTTTTTTCAAAGAAGATTTTTTAAGTTTGTACTATACACATATAGTTAAAAACAATGACACCCCTGGGGCGGGGCCAGTTTTGACCCCAGGGCTTTTATTTGAACAAACTTTGTAGACACTTACTAGAAGATGTTTCATGCTTAATATCTAAACTGTAGCTATTTGGGTTTTTTCAAAGAAGATTTTTAAATTTTTGCTATACACATAGAAGGAAAATCAATGACCCCGGGGCGGGGCCAATTTTGACCCCAGGGCTTTTATTTGAACTAACTTTGTAGACACTCACTAGAAGATGTTTCATGCTAAATATCTAAACTCTAGCTATTTGGGTTTTTTAAAAGAAGATTTTTTCAGTCTCTGCTATACACATATTAGAAAAATCAATGACCCCCGGGGCGGGGCCAATATTGACCCCAGGGCTTTTATTTGAACAAACTTGGTAGACACCCATTAGAACATGTTTCATGCTAAATATCTTAGCTCTAGCTCTTTGAGTTCTTTGAAAGAAGATTTTTATGTTTTTACTATATGCATAAAGGGAATATCAATGACTCCCTGGGGCCCCAGGGCTTTTATTTGAACAAACTTGGTAGACACTCATGAGAAGATGTTTCATGCTAAATATCTTAGCTCTAGCTCTTTGGGTTCTTTTAAAGAAGGTTTTTTAAGTTTTTACTATATGCATATAGGGAAAATCAATGACCCCCTGGGGTGGGGCCAATTTTGACCCCAGGGCTTTTATTTGAACAAACTTGGCAGACACTCACTAGAAGATGTTTCATGCCAAATATCTAAGCTCTAGCTCTTTGGGTTTTTTAAAAGAAGATATTTTAAGTTTTTTCTTTCGGTTGCCATGGCAACCAGAGTTCTGCATGGAATTAAATTCTTTGAACAATTTTTAAAGGTGACCACCAAAGGAACATTCCTGTGAAGTTTGGATGAAATTGGCTTAGTGGTTGTTGAGGAGATGTCATTTAAAGAAAAAAGTTTACGGACGAAAAGCGATCACAAAAGCTCACTCTGTCATGATTTATGATAATTTTAAAGATATGTCACCTTAGTGAAATAAGTGATTAACATCTACTAAATTTAGAAGGACTTAACCTGTTACTGCACTTAGGTGATGATATACTACATGTACAAATATAGTGGTGTTTAACCTACCTTCAAGATAGATGTCAGAAGTACTGACAGACCTATCATCAAAAAAATGGCAACCCCTGTCACACGCTGCTCCCTGAAAAATGTGTAACATATTTACCAACTGAAATAGTTCCTTTTTCTCAATATCTACTATGAAATAGTATCTTTTTCTCTCAATATTTCTTATGAAATAATGGGGGGCGGGGGTTAATGTTTAGTTTTCTTTGTGAAGAAATTATTATGATAATATAATTAGAATATAATCGAAAAGCTAGCCTCTATAGCCAAGATGTTTAAGTGTCTGACTAAATCATCAATAATGTACAATCGAATCCCCTTAGGGACCCTCACTTTTTGATAAGAAAACAATTCAAGCAGTCTTTAATTTACTCTGACATTACTTAGATAATGGCTTCTATAAGCTTTTGCTTTCCGCCAAAATCTATAATTATTGTTATGTTGTTACTAACATATGTACAAATATTCTTAATAAAAAATGTTTAAACCCATTTACTCTGATGTCAGACTTTAGTCTGAATTTATGAGAGAACAGGTGCTAGAAGAAGCTAGAAAGTACAGAGTAACCTCTACAGAGGTAACACCATTTAAGACATTGTTGCTGTGAGGTAACAGGTATTGTATGAAATAAATTAAATCCATTTTTAAAATTTTTAATGTTCACATAGAGAATTGTTTCTGTTGTTTTTAAGGAGGTTGTTCATGTACAGAGGGCCATTCAGATGACGTTGCACTGTATCTCATATTATAATGATAGCACTGTCTGTAAGGATTTTATATTCAAAATCATTAAAAATGAAGCAAACAACGTTTTCTTAACGTTTTCTTACCGAACGCCCAGGAATTTCGGCCTTTCTCCCGGAGCCGTGCACTCAGATTCTTTCTTTAATGACATCACATGATTTATTGAAAGGACGGTTGCGGCAACAAAGTACGGCAAACCCAAGAATGAATTAACTATGATTAATACAGCCACTATCAGCAAGTCCAGGTGATAACCGCAACCTTTCTAAAAATAGAACATACAGCTAAATATTAATAGAAATAGTAATGTAACATACTAAACAAGAGCATAGCATACAGTGTTCACAGTCATGTGTAAAAATATTTACCACTTTTGAAAAAAAAAAAAATCTAAGTAAAAAGGGGGGATAACTGTAAGAATATAGCTTTAAGAATAATGCCCTTTGTCTAACAACTGCACCTTGTCGTGATAACCAAGTACATATATTCCAATTTTTACGTAGTCAATAACTTTCATAATATATATGAATAATGGGCTACATGAAAACAGCAAATTTAAATGCAAATTGCAGGTGCCCTTTGAATGAGTCTGTATGAAGAGTGCAACATGCCTAACATCCCTAGCACTGGCTTAATCAGTGTTCAATCTTAATCCATTTAAGATAGTTCCAGTCACAGATATAGGTTCTCTAATAATAACCTTATTCTATTTGTTAAATCATGAAACATCTTCACAACTTACTTTAAGTTTGTTTTCTTTCCTGTTAACAATTACCGCAGTAATTTGTTGATCCATAAATAGGAGAATGGTTGCCAGTAATGCTGGGACAATCGCTGCAACACTCACATACGTGGGATTCTTCTCGTGGAATGGCGGTATTATCCATCCACGAGTCTCGTGATTCGTGGGCTAAAAATAAATAATCATATCATATATCAACATACATATAATGTCTCGAAAACAGCTTGGTTAATATACTGTCTGCATATGCAGGCAAGTTTATACGAACGATTTTGTTAGATGAAGGTTTTTATACACATACACTAGAGATCTGTGAGCAAGTTCATCATTATTGAGTGGCAGTGTGGCTGAGTGGTTAACAAGACAGACCAGTTATCTCAGAATTGCTTTTGCGTGGGTTCAATCCCCATCAGGGGCAAGCTGTTGTTTCCATGAGCAAGAAACTTTACACTCATTGCTTATTACTGGTTGGTTCCAGAAACAGATTTGAGAGTGTTTCAATACGCTTATAGCTTCCAACACAATCAAACTAGTAGTACTTCATTTATGATAAGGGATCTCAATTCAAAGACAAGTCAAAAAGTATATTTAATGATTTAGAATATTAGCTAAGGAAATATCATTTACCTGAAACTTAATGGGAACTTCAAGTTTTGGTGTGTCCAATCCAATAATAGCGTCAGTGACGACCATAGCTGCTATAGCCAGGATGACGGCGAAATCGGATATTATAGTACGTACCTGAAATAAAAGAAACATTTAGATTTGAGGACAAGCCAAAAAACGTTCAGCAAAATACGTACATGGTTTACCTTTTTTACTCATCTCAACTCAAAGGTGACTCAAACAAATTTAATATAATCAATCGAGCTTAAATATGTTTATGTTTTAACAAATTGTAACATTGCCAGCTTTTTGAATGTAGAAATGACTTATTCATTAAATCTATTTTCAAGTTATATAATGGTTGAAACCCCCCCCCCCCCCCCCTGCCCAAACAAGCCTTTTCTCATACTGATTTTGTCATCATTACAGGAAATAGCAAAAATTATAAAAACTAGAAATGTGTCCATAGGAAACGGATGCCCCCACACGCCACTGTTCTGTCAATCTCATGACTCTAGGTCAAATATTTTTTGGACTACATGTGCCACAAGTTGAAAACTAAAAATCAACAAAGGGCCATAATTCTGTTAAATTTGGTCGCAGAAAAAAATCCTTCCTTTACTACCATCTACACATTAACGTTGTTAATCCCTGGAAGTTTAAGCAAAATCTGTCATCCGGTTTAAGAGGAGTTGCGTTCACAAAATTTCTACACAGTATATAATGAAAAAATCAACAAAGGGCCATAATTCTGTTAAATTTGGTTGCAGCAAAAATTCCTTCCTTTACTGCCATCTACACATTAAGGTTGTTCATCCCTGGAAGTTTAGTTTAAGCAAAATCTGCCATCCGGTTTAAGAGGAGTTGCATTCACAAAATTTCTACATAGTATATAGTGAAAAAATCAACAAAGGGCCATAATTCTGTAAAATTTGGTCGCAGCGAAAATTCCTTCCTTTACTACCATCTACACCTTAACGTTGTTCATCCCTGTAAGTTTAAGCAAAATCTGCCATCCGGTTTAAGAGGAGTTGCGTCCACAAAATTTCTACATAGTATATAGTGAAAAAATCAACAAAGGGCCATAATTCTGTTAAATTTGGTCACAGCAAAAATTCCTTACTTTACTACCATCTACACATTAAGGTTGTTCATCCCTGTAAGTTTAAACAAAATCTGCCATCAGGTTTAAGAGGAGTTGCGTTCACAAAATTTCTACATAGTATCTAGTGAAAAAATCAACAAAGGGCCATAATTCTGTTAAATTTTGTCGCAGCGAAAATTCCTTCCTATACTACCATCTACACATTAAGGTTGATCATCCATGTAAGTTTAAGCAAAATCTGCCATCCGGTTTAAGAGGAGTTGCGTTCACAAGATTTCGGGACGTACGGACGGACTGAAGGACGGACGGACAAGTGCAACGCTATATGCTCACACATTGTGGGGGCATAAAAATTCTTTTACACATGTAGCATCCTTGTTTTTCTACATTTTGTGAGAAAAATAAACAAATTGCTTGATTACAAATGTCTGCATTGATCATTGCAGTAGTATAAATATATAGTATGCACATGGGTTTAGTAGTTAAAAGTTTTACAATCAATATAGGAAAGGATTTAATGCCAAAAGAAACACAAGAAGGTGTATGAGGGTTAATTAATTATTGTATAAGTGGTTAAGTTAGCGACACAAAAATATTGGTAAATTTTGCGAATTTCCGAAGATATTTGCTAAAATTTCCTCTAGCTTAAATATCAACCAACCTCATTAAATTCCATTCTTCCATGATTTGCTAATATTTCCCAACGCAAAATGTCTGGAATTTTAATATCGCTAACTTTTCGACATGCAGAAATATCCTCTTATACGGTACATATATAATCTAATTTCTGATACTTTGTTTCTATTAGTTTTTATTATTTTTGTAAAATTGTACAAAACAAAAATGACTATGATTTACTCACCCATGTAGGAAACCATCGACTATTCCTTGACAATTTTAATCCATAAGCTAATGTGAACGTTCCTATAAACAGTAGACACGACAAGAAAAACACGTCTGCTACGTGGTTACATCCATCGCCCACCAGACTTCCTCCATGTTCTATACAGTGATCACGTGGCAGCTTATGCCATTCTATATTCTTGTACAATGTAGACACGTCCGGTAGCAAAGTCGTCACATTTGTTACCGTATATGGCACAGCCGTCGAATTAGCAAGAGTAGCGTTTGTTGTATTGACCGGTGCATTTGGTGCAATGCAAATACAGTCGTGAAACGGCGACACGCCAGGGTCCATATTTACCGGCACTTTTTCGTTTATGTCTATCAATTTACCAACGGCTTCCTTGATAAAAATAAGTGATATCAGGGCCGCAAAGCTTTCTTCTGTAAATCTGGTAATGTATCGCACAAGTGCTGACAAGTCAAAGGCCACCATTAATATCAGGATTAAACCTGTCCACAGGCCAACCCACCATCGGAATGAAAGATAGTACCAGCCCATGTCCCTGACAAAATAAACAACATGACATCAAAAATAATCAGTACAAATAAATTTTCAAAGGAGATATCCCTCAAGAGTGAATAGAGCAAAATTACCGACATTTCTATTCACAAAAGTACTAACAAAGAGAAATATAAAAGTCCAAGTCTGACACAGAAAACCTGTAGCAACAGTATAAATTTTTGTCTATAAACCACAAAATAATCATAAAAGGTTAGACTTTTACTAGTGAGGGTTCTAAACTGAGTCTGTTTTATAGGGACTGAGGGTTCTTTAGGCACTCTGTTTTTCTATTGCTGCATGCATCCTATGTAAAAACTATCAAAACACTTGATGTTTGGTTGTTAACAATTTAGGATATTTGGTTTCTAACAAACGATTAACTTACTTGCTAAAATTATACAGGATTGTTTCAAACACCAGTACTGGGCCTGTAGAGCCGAGGATTGTTAGCGGCTGCCCGGAACATAGAGCATACGTTATACCAACAATGGCACCAGCCAGTAAACTCTCTAGAGCTCCCTGTAAATATAGTGAAAATATATCACATACAGTGAAAATATATCAGATACAGTGAAAATATATCAAATACAGTGAAAGTATATCAAATACAGTGAAAATATATCAAATACTGTGAAAATATACCAAATACAGTGAAAATATATCAAATACTGTGAAAAAATATCAAATACAGTAAAACTATATCATATACAGTGAAAATATATCAATTACTATAAAAATATATCAAATACAGTGAAAATATATCAAATACAGTGAAAATATATCAAATACTGTGAAAATATATCAAATGTAATGAAAATATATCAAATACAGTGAAAATATATCAAATGTAATGAAAATATATCAAATACAGTGAAAATATATCAAAAACGGTGAAAATGTATCTAATACAGTGAAAATATATCAGATACAGTGAAAATATATCAAATACAGTGAAAATTTATAAAATACAGTGAAAATATATAAAATACAGTGAAAATATATTAAATATAGTAAAAATATATCAAACACAGTGAAAATATATCAAATATCATATACACACGAAAATATATAAAATACAATGAAAATATATCAAATACAGTGGAAATATATCAAATACAGAGAAAACATATCAAATACAGTGAAAATATATCAAATACAGTAAAACCATATCAAATACAGTGAAAATATATCAAATACAGTGAAAATACAATATCAAATACAGTGAAAATATATCAAATACTGTGAAAATATATCAAATACTGTGAAAATATATCAAATACAGTGAAAATATATAAAATACAGTAAAACCATATCAAACACAGTGAAAATATATCAAATAAAGTGATAATATATCAAATACAGTAAAACCATATCAAATACACAGTGAAAATATATCAAATATAGTGAAAATATCTCAAATACAGTGAAAATATATCAAAATTAAGGAACATCATACAAATTAAAATAACCATGTTGTTCATAAACCTGACAAAAATAACAAAAGTAATCTTACCAGATCATTATTGGTGGCATCTGCCAGCAACCCACCAAACGTGATAATTGGTGTCAGACAAGCAAAATACAAGAACATAAATGAGGCAAGAGTCTGTACATGTAGAGCATCTTTAAAATCACTAACATAAAATGGTTTCTTTCTCTTAATGTCTTGAATCAAACCCCCAAACAAACTGAAATATATAACATGCAGAGACAATCAGTTTTTTTGATACACAAAATATACATTTACATGGCTTAAATCTTAAAAGGAAATGCTCATTTGTATCATATTTATGTTTTAATATGCACTCAGCCACATATCCTCCCACCCCTGGCTTTCTTAGTTCAAAACAGGTCATAATTCTGTCAAAATCCATGTTAGAGTTATGGGGCTTTGAACTGACTTCCTATTAAGCTCTCAATGAAGTGTGTTAAGTTTCAACCCATTCCCTTCAGTAGTTATGGAGATATCAGCTTCCAGGCAAAAACTTAACTAAGAATTTCTAAGTCAGAAGAGGACCATATTAAATATGCAAAATAGCACTTTTTCATAAAGAACAAGTTAGTAAAGTTTCAATCGTTTCCCTTCAGGAGTTCTGGAAATACCACAAAAACGTAACAAAAAGCATGATGCCGACACCCTGGATGAGTATAACAGCTCTCCTTATTCTTGAAATAGTCAAGCTTATAAACTACAAATTTGTCCATAGTACACAGATGCCCCCACATTCCCCTGTTTTCTCAGATCTACTGTTTAAGCAGGACAATGGGACATACTGACAGGGGCATGTCTATATATCAAATGTATTGTCTTACTGGCCAGTTCTCTGGAGGGCGGGGTCATCACCATGTGACTCCTCCACTTCTTCCACAGCTACCTTCCCATTGGGCAACACTTTTGGAGGTTCTGCAATCTTTTTCCTGCCCTCTTGAGAAGGAACACTCTTAGGCGGTTCAATACGTATCGAGGGATCCCACTCGCCAGGGGGGAGAACTGTCACCTGATCTAGAAATTCATCTATTCCGGCCAACAGATCATCTCGGTTGTGGGCGTGATATGCAACATCATGAAACACCTATAAAAAGTGAAATTTATTTAAAGTTTCAATACAAAATGAGAAAGCAGTTGTTTTTTCTCAATCTTACATTATAAGGGGAGCGGTGGCCTAATGGTTTCCAAGGCACGACCATGTTTCCACATGACACTGGTATGGGTTAGTTGTTGCCAACGAAGCAAAAGTGATAAATGTAAAATAGTTAGTCTTTGCCCCAGGGTTTAGTTTTCTTTTCCATACGACATTCGTGACTTATAGTTCAAAAGAAATAATAAAATGTAATTTTTTTAGCACTTTTCTTGTAGCGACTTACAATATAAATGTGATATTCAAAATTATAATCCAGATTTATGACTCATCTTACACAATACAGGGTGGTAAGATGACAAATTTCCAGCATTGGTGCAATCACTAGAAATTCTAGCCCAATATACAAGATATGAAAAGATAAACAGATCTACGACAGGGGATCTAGTGCAAACACTAGAAAATCTAGCCCAATATGCAAGATATTAAAAGATAAACAGAGTAAAGACAGGCGCATACCTCATCTGTCATCAACGTAGCTATTGATCGTCCAATTTCGTGGTATCTGCTCTGGTTCCCAGTTGGGCCGAGTAACAGAAACAAGAATTTTGTAGGCACTGGTACTTCTGTGAGATCACCCATCACCGACGATGTTTTCAGACGTATAAATGCAGTCACCATGTGATTGAGAAAATCAACTTCCCCACAAAGCACATTTGCAGCCTCCGAACCTGGGGGAATCTTTTTCATGAAGTGTGTATTTAACTGAAATTACATGAACAGGACAAACTTTTACACTCCAGAAAAATACAAAACAAATGTTTTGTATTGACATGCTGTTATTTCATTACAAAAAGAATTTGATGTAAGACTTTAAGATTAATTTATGTCTAATGTGTTAAGTTGTTTTGTTTTTTTCATTTAACAGAAACATTTGAAACATCTATGCTGGGAACAACTGATTGAACATAAGATAGCTCCTTTATCAATGCATGTACAACCTCCAACTTTCATCATATATATATAAATCGGAGTAGGTCACGTCCATTATAAAATGTTTAACTATCTGAAGATATGTGAAAATATGTGAAAACATTTGAAAGCGCTAACAGAAATAAACATATAAAAAATTAACCAACTTTGTACTCTGCATTTCCCAAAACATACTTTTTTTATATATATTTATATAACCTTTAAGATTATAGACTCGCCATACTGTTATCGTTTAAAATATTGATGTTTCATTTGGAAAACACCTTATGAGACATAAAATGAAGTAAAGTAGGTAGTAGGCGACAGCAACATTGGATTAATTATGATATTTACCCGTCGTTATTCAACATTTACCAATTCATTACCGATCATTATCCTTAAAGCATATTGTAGAGATTTAAACCTATACACATGTAAAGAGCGGAACAGGCTATCATTTTAATATCTCTACAATTTCAATATTTTGATGCTGAATAAAAGTTTATTTTCTCTGTTTGACACAGTAAGATTATTCCATATTTTAAAGAATTTGAAAAGCACTGACTGTTCTGATTTACAAAAAAAAAAAAATGAAATAAATCGGAGTAGGTCACGTCCATTATAAAATGTTTAACTATCCATAATTAACTGTTTCAACTGTCCATTATTATCAATCTAACAATAATTACCTTAGCAGACGACGCATTTTCATGCAAGTCTGTACCGGAGGACTGGTTCCTCTTTAGGTTTGCGCCCAGGCTGGTGTCCATCTTCGGGTTACTGTCATTATGACTCATCTGATTAAAGTTGGGTAACGTCTTTACGCCTTTTAACTTAGTCTTTGCATCATCACCTTTATACACATATAAAATAATCATACAATTTAATTTTTGAAATTTTTATACATGTACGTTCAGTCTGATTTCCTTTTTTCAAAATAAATCAAAAATAAAAGATTTGATTTTCAGGAAATTGATAACAAAAATCATATCGAAAACAGAACAGAAATAAATAACAGGTAGACATTAAGGAGCTGCATAATGAGAACAATAAGCAAATAAAATTTTTAATAAATAAATCAAGTAATATATAAGGCCAAAATAAAAGAATTTTTGTTTCAAGTCTCCCTAGCAATCCACTTTTTTACATGCTTACTCTTGACTTTTTATTTGCTTTGCCATCTTGTCAAATTCAAAATAGATATATAATTCTTACTACACACCCACTATTCTTGGGGTTAAGAAACCGGAAACAGGTCTACATGTATCTTTTTTTTTGGCCTTATAGAAAATAAATCAACAAATATGTGACCACAAAATTGATTTTAAAGTGATGTAATTGAATTAATAATACAAGTATTTAAAATCAATTCAATAGAAAATTCTATCAGACTTTTAACAGATTGTCATTCTAACAAACTGCTGAATAAAAAGTTTAGTGTTACAGTGCCTAATTAATAAATAAATGAATAAATAAATACATTGTCAGCTACCATATAAAGTATATATTCCTGTAATACAAACATTTTAAAAAACTCTGAAAAGGTCAATAGCTGAACAGAACAAATAAAATATCCTTATATTAGAACAAAAAAAAAAAAAAAAAAAAAAAATTTTTTTTTAATTATTACAAATTCAGTTAACAGTTATATTTAAAAGATGCTATAAGGATTTTGGAAAAGAATATCAGCTGTCCTTCCATATATTATTTCCAGCATCAGCAACACCTTCCTGGAAGCATCTATCTCCAATAAGCTTGTTCACAGCCCCAAACTTCACAACCACTACACCCCTTTATGTACATTAAAATTTTCCGATCTAAATTTATTATAAAAACCTTAACAACCTTCAACATGTAATAACTAATTTAACATAAATATTTTATCATCAAGTAAGATTAATTCTCTCCTCTGTATACCAAATTGTTTAAGAAAAAAAATGTTAAAGTACAAGATATTTTTTAGTTCCGTATATAGTACAATAATAGAAGTTTCTGAAGACATATAAATAATGAACTCTATTTTACTGGAAGCAACTATCTATTCTATATTTCATTAAAGTCTAAGAATGGTGTGTATTAAAGTGTGGTCCTCTATGCAGTAAGTGATTTATAAAAAACTGGCCAAACACCTAAGGGTCTATATTGTATGTCTTATTCTCTATAACCTGAATTTTGAGAAAACTATTTTCAGTATTTATCAATTTTCTTTCCCAATATAGTGTAGGCAATACCAAAATCCGTAAAAATTGTTATTATTTATTACAAAAAAAAGTGCAGGAAATATCAATTTACAATTAAAACCCAAAAGCTAAATTATAGTGTGCCAATAAGTGCTGTGAAATATAAACTAATGTATCATTACAGTTAACCCTTCTCCTGTTGGGACAGTGATTTTTCTTTGCCACCAGACGGCAGAATAGTGTCCAGCCAACCTGAACTTCCATTTTTTTTACAATTGCGGTATCATATTAAAGAACAAGTTGTTCCTGTTAGAATAGAAAACGTCTCTTCTTGTCAAATCCTCTCATATCATAAAAACAACTGCAGGTGTTGCCCATATTGGACAAAAAGATATGTAATTAATTTGCAGTCTAGACACAGAAAAAAATATCGCAATTCATTAAATAACTACACCAATTAAGGGATTGGTTCTTTCCATGATACATTGTCATATATCATCTTACAGTAAATTAGAATGCTAATATATATGAATGTACAAATTACCTTGCACTTTTAGGTGTGTAATACCATATTCCTTAATTAACCTTACTCTTTTAGGCGTGTTATACCTTACCATGCTTAATTAACCTTACTCTTTTACAAGTGTTATACCTTACCCTGCTTAATTAATTTAACTCTTTTAGGAGTGTAATACCTTACCTTGCTCAATTAACCTTACTCTTTAAGGAGTGTTATACCTTACACTGCTTGAATGAAAAGTGATTAGCCTTTTCCACCAGCATAGAGCCAGGCTAGCCTGAACATATGTACATGCAGTTTGAATGGGCCTTATGCTGTAGGTAGTTTTTTTGTTTGTTTTTTAATTTTGATTATGAAATTTCTTGAACTTTAAATAAACTGTTCCAAGATTCAAAGAAGGGCATATCCATTACACAAATTCAGTAGATTAAGGAATAAGAAGATTTTTATTCCATTTATAGTTATTTTTGTTTGTTTGGGTTTAACGGTAGAACTAGTCATATCTAAATCAGTTCAGACTTTCCGGTACCATCTCAACTTCAGTTTAGCACCTCATATTCAGTGCTACCCTACCCTACCAGCTTTTTCATTAAAATAATGGCCTTAAAACATACACCTGTACTGACCAAACCAAATCCATACAAGTATAGAATATAAGTCAAACATAAATTAAATAAGTTCCAATAACTTTCACCCAAGATTCACCGGGCATAATGACAGTAAGACCCAACTTAGCTTCTTGAAAATCTAGCGTAAATAGCAAAAGAGGGTTATTGAAAAATATGAAATACAACAGAACTGCAGAGGCGGGCAATATATGCCCAAATAGAGAAGAAAACTGATATCTTTTGGTTATAGAATTATGGCTAAAGAGGAAATCAAAATATCGCTTCAAAATTATGAAACTTTTCTAATTCAAGGAACAAAGCTTCAATGCAAATTGCCATTTAAGGGCAATATATTCGTAAACCAAAATCAAAATGACCAGTATTTTTTATTCACAAATGATCCAAGTATCATGAATTTCCCTAATTTGTTTAATAGATGAAGCACAGACACAAAACTTGTTTTTCTTTGGTTTAAACCTTTGACCTTGATCTAGCTATTCTGTGACCTTGACCTGGATGTGATGTCTCTGAAATGTGTGTTCAGACCTTGACCCGAGACTTTAACCTAAATGTGGTACCTCCCAAATGTGTGTTTTAACATTGACCTAAATGTGTTGCCACTGCATGTCTTACCAAAGAGATAAACATCTTTGGCTATTTAGATACAAAAGGCAGACATGAAATTTGTCTGAATTTTATATGTTCTACATAGAGAGTTTTTTTTTACTACGAAAAATTATAACATCTTCGTGCCAGAAATATCTTGTCTCAAAGGCAAGCCTTAGTCTCAGAAATATCCTTCATTAGGTCTGTTATTGATATAGAGGTGTCAGAGACTTTTTGTAACCCTTATTCATAATATGAACTGAAAATGTAACATTGTCATAATTATTTTCATTTTCCTTTTGAAATGCAAAAAAAAATAAAATTGTAAAATATATAGAGGTGGTCAAAATGGCTAATTGGGTTGATTACAACATTTGGTATAGAGACTATGCAATAACTGACCACTAGATACAATGAGGTCTGGGAAATTTTGGACAACAAGGTAAGTTTACTTGGCAACATACAAAATAAATAGCAATTAAAAAATCCTTAAAAGAAAACAAATTATAACGTAAAAAAAATATGTAAAACTGTTAAGACATAATTATTAGAGCAAAGGGTTTTTAATAATCATCAAATAATCCCTTGTTCGTAAATTACCTGAATCATTTTTTTACACCAATCAATGCTAGTTTGAATTATTTGCCCCTGACACCACATGCTATTTTATATCACATTATATTAAGCAGACTACAGTAAACTCCACTTATAAGGTCATTCAGGCCACCACAAATATATGGTTATATCCAGTATATCCTGAATGATATCTTTATATCCAAGAGGCAACCAATTTGAAAACAAGAGTCGAGCCCCCCAGAGCCCCCCAGCAACAGCATCGTTATCGGCAGTAGATTGTTATAATTGGTATATTGTTACAAGCGATATCATTATAAATATAAGTTGGAGTATACTGATCCTTTGCCTTAGCAGATCCTTGCCAAACTTTTTTCTCTCAAATATAAATCTCTAAACTTTCAAGTCCTTACAAGTTTTGTTAAGAAAGTTAATAAAATCTTATTAATGCAAATATTACAGAAAATATTAATAAACCTACTCCGGATAAGCGAGGGCTTATCAGTAAAATAAGTACTTGTATATAGTTAAACCTAAAGATTTTATTTTAATTTCATTTTAGAATTTTAAACATGTAAGACTGAGTGAGATTGGTTTAGAAAGCAACACACAATACAAAGCACACTGAAGTATACTGGAAAAGTTTTTAGAGTGAAACAAGATTGCATTTGAGAAAAATGCTATGCCACCGCATGGTTCAAATTTCATAGCTGTACACCAAAGGACAAGAAAGTAGGTCACATCATCAAAATCTAGGTCACCTGATATCAAAGTTCAATTTTACAACTAAAACTGTGCACATGGTCAAAATGTCATTGCTGTACATTAAAGGACAAGAAAGTAGGTCACTGTCCCCTTGGGCAAGGCATAATTTTGACCCAAGGGTTTAATTTAAAACAATTTTGATACAGGTCCACCAAACAACATTTCAAGTCAAATATCTAAGCTATAGCTTTCTCCCATTCAGAAAACATTTGTTTTATTTTCTGTTTTTACTATGTGTACATAATGAGAATCACTGCCCCCAGACAGGGCCAATTTTGACACCAGGGGAAAATTTTGAACAACTTTGTAGAGGACCTATAAATAATATTATATATCATACATCAAAGCTCTATGCCTTGTACCTTCAGACAAAAATATTTTTTATTTTTTCACTATTATGTACATAATGAAAATCAATGACCCCGGGCGGAACAATATTGACCCCAGGGCTATAATTGGAACAATCTTGCCAGAGGTTCACTACACAATGTTCATGCAAAATATCTTAACTCTAGCCTTTGTAAATTTAGAGAAGATGATTTTTTAAGTTTGTACTATATACATATACGGAAAACCTATGGCCACCAGGGGGCGGGGCTAATTTTGACACAAGAGGCAAACTTTAATAACTTTTGTAGAGTACCTTCAGATGATATAATTTAACAAATATTAAAGCTCTTAGCCTTGTACCTTAAGACAATAAGATTTATTTATTTTTTTACTATAATGTATATATTGAAATCAAATGACCCTCGGGCGGGGCCAATTTTGACCCCAGGGCTATAATTTGAACAATCTTGCTAGAGTTTACTACACAATGTTCATGCAAAATATCTAACCTCTAGCATTTGTCAATTGCTAGAAGAATTGTTTTTGAAGTTTTTACTAAAGTTTTTACTATATACATAAAAGGAAAACCAATGACCCCCGGGGCGGGCTGATTTTGACCCCAGGCTATAATTTGAACAATCTGGGTAGAGGTATACCAGGCAATGCCTTACGCAAAATATATAAGCTCTAGGCCTTTTGGGTCTTTACAAGGTGTTTTAAGTTTAATATGTACATATAGTGAAAAATCAATGACCCCGGGGCGGGGCCGATTTTGACCCAAGGCTATAATTTGAACAATCTTGGTAAGGGTCTACCAGAAGATGCCTTATGCAAAATATCTAAGCTCTAGGCCTTTTGGTTTTTACAAGAAGGTATTTTAAGTTTTTACTATATGTACATATAGCGAAAATCAATGACCCCCGGGGCGGGGCCAATTTTGACCCAAGGGCTATAATTTGAACAATCTTGTTAGAGGTCTACCAGACAAAGCCTTATGCAAAATATCTAAGCTCTAGGCCTTTTGGGTCTTTACAAGAAGATTTTTTTAATTTATTCTTATAATTCCTTTTGGTTGCCATGGCAACCAGATTTCTGCATGGAATGAAATTCTTTAAACAACTTTGGAAGCCCTTCACCAAAGGAACAATCCTGCCAAGTTTGGTTGAAATTGGGCTAGTGGTTTTTCAAAAGAAGATTTTTTAAGTTCACTATATATAATCTATATAACACACACACAAACACACACACACACACACACACACAGGTGAATCGCAATATGCCACCGCATCGCAGATGCTGCAGAGGCATAAAGCAGATGCTGCGGTGGCATAAAAAAAAAAGTCACATCAATTTCACATTAAATTGTACCATTTTCGTTGATTACTGACAAACGACGTAGCGTTCCTGGGCTATGTGGAAACTGCCTATCCATTCCAAATGCTGAAATCCAAACAAGTCCTTAAAATACTAACCATTGTATTATTCTTTGCAATAAACCTAATTAGAAAATATATCTAATATTTTTCTTTGGCTGAAAAAATATTTATGGTATTATAATTTTGCACACAGAACGTAATTTGATAATCGTTAATAAATTGTGATGTAACAGACCCTCCTTTAAACAAAACATAACACCTTCAACGGCATTAACTCTTCTGTTACTACTATAAATAGTAATTAGGAAAAGCCCAGTGTACAAGGGCAGTAACTCTTCAGTTACTACTCAAAAATAGTAAAGAGCAAAATACAAGGGCACTAACTCTCTTGTTACTACTCAAAAATAGTAAAATGCAATAAACAAGGGCAATAACTTCTCAGCTACAACCTGAAATAGCAAGTTTGCTAATCAATACCAGTCAAATGTTCTATTTATAGAATTATCAAACCTATTTTTAGAATTATAAATCAAACTAATCAGAGAATGAAGTTTGATCTGCAAAAATGTTCTATTTTTAGAATTATTAAACCTATTTTTAGAATTATAAATCAAACTAATCAGACAATGAAGTTTGATCTGCAAAAATGTTCTATTTTTAGAATTATTAAACCTATTTTTAGAATCATTAAACAAACTAATCAGAGATCTGCAAAAAAAAGATCTGTATGTTTGCTCAGCTACCTGTTTAAATATTAATTTTAAAACATACTTGAGTATATAATAATCTATAATATTTCATAATATAATAAACATCATCATAATACTTTAAATACAGCGACATACATGTACATTTCAAACTTCTGGATTATAATTCAATAATAAATATAATCAATGCATGCAAAAAAAGACTATTCAATAATAATTTGATTATAATTCTTTCTCCCAAAATGTAAATATGACAACACAGACAAACATAAATCATAAAACATCATCAAAAGACTGCCCAATCATGAATATTGAATACAGCACATAACAACACATCTCAACTCTGCAATTCTATTGGTTAGTGCTTTTTTTCCAAGCCACACCCATTTCTTTTCTTGGTTAAAAATAGTAACACACCATTTTCTTTTTCTTGATTAAAAATAGTAACCTATCACTTGATTAATATATCTAGCTTGACAGAATCTAGCATACATTTCTTTAATTCATTCATTTCAAAGATTTGTTTTGTTTCTTAATCAAATAAAGCTGGAACTGCCTGCTCTTTTCAATTTAAATGATGCACCAGGAAATTGCTACATTAATCCTCCTGCAGAAACAGTCAAAAGATAAAATCGCCCAATTGAATGCACCCAAATAAAACCCAAGCATTGACCTGCCAGTGCAGAAACGGATCTTTCCCTTGCAATCACTCAATAGATCGGAATAGTTACAATTTATCTGGTGCATAATTAAAATAAATTTCTGGTCCAATTTTCTAAACAAAAAATAAATTTACACACTATATATTGCATAATTATGATATTTTTAGTTTTAAAATACTGCTCTTGTTAATATTGTACAATGAAAAGTGTATACCAATAAATTCAAAAAGGTATCTTACAATTGGACATACATGTATAATTTTTCTTAGTAACTTTTGTTAATTTATATCCTAATATTTGTAAATATGTAAGTATACCTTAGAGCTGAAAAAGACAAAAGGTAAATAATAAATTTAAATAAATTCTAAATTGTATCATAAGACTGTGTATAAAGTATTTTAAGGTGTTCAATCCATTATTTAGGTACATTCAGAATTTACATCAGAAAACACTAACTAAAATAAAGGTCCAACTTCTATTGACATGGGCCCCACCTATTGTTTTTTGACCAAATAGGCTATAGGGTAGAACTTTGCCTCCCTGATGACACAAATATAGTTTTTAGTTTTAGGTCCACATATAATTTGTTAAATGTGTCGAGGTGGCAGGAAATAATTATATGGCCATGGTAATCCTGTAAGTACTAGCTAACTATCTATATATAATATTGTATCATTTGAAATATATTTTGGTGAATTTAATTCTATTTTTGATACAAAAATGAAATTAGTCAAAAATTAGGTGTTGATTACAATTAATATCAACTGACTGAACCATTCAAACTATTATAATTATATAATTGTTCTAGTAATATTATAGTAATATTATAGCAAAAATACGCAAAAACTCAGCTGAGCCAGTTCAAACCAGTTTTAAATGCTAGTTTAAACCAATTCAAACCAGTTTATGTGCCAGTTTAAACCAGTTTTAAGCAGAATAGCATGTTACCATGGTGAGCATGGTGTGTGCGACGTCCAAGAGTGTGTACATGCCCAGCAAACGAAACACGCAGCCCTGTTAAAAGGGGTTAAGTAAAAAATAGTTATAAAGTATTGCACCATCAAAGCACAATGCACAGAAATGATTCCAAAAATAGAAATTTTCAACAATATGTCTAGCTAATGCTTTTGATATATAATATAATAATAAGATAAATATTTGTACTTTGAAAGATAAATATTTGTACTTTGAAATAAAAAAAGTTTTAATCTTTAAAAAAAAAAAAATTTTTTTATTGAAGTGACCGTTTAAAAGTCCTGAAATTTCAAAGTGGCTTTATTCTATTCTAAGCATAAAAGTGCTAGTCTAAAATAGACACTAAAATTTTTTATATCAAGCAAAAATGATCTAAAAAAACAACATTTTTTTTCTACATAATCAATTCATGCTTCAAACAAAACTTTCCAAAATTTAATGTCAAAAAGCAACAAGGGGATTGCCAAAAAACCAAAACAAATCCCCGCAGATCTTTAAAACCTTATCAATTATAATAATCATGTCAAAAAAACACACACAAAATCAATTTGTAGCTACTGAATGAACAATAAAAATTAACTACAGTGTAACAAGCATAGCACAAAATATGCAAATTGAACAATGCCAACAATTGCTGTCTATAAATGGGGCATCTGTACAACATAGCTTCAATAAAAACAAACAATTTAAACTATAGGAAACCATTGCTTCTCGTCTTAACAGACCTTTCACATTTTCTTTAACAAGCATATTTATATTACATGTATAAAAACAATAATATGACCCGTTTTTTTTTTCTAACGGGCGTATAAAAAGGCTGGCTGGATAGCTTCCTCACATGATGGAATTCAAAGTCCCTAAAGACCTCTCGAACCTGCAGCAGCAATTCTTAGTTATATGATTGTAGCATGATTCTGGGAAACACTGGGAAACATGATATATTAAATATATGAGTTAAATGTTTTGTTTTGTTTGTTTGGTTTTATTTTACGCCTTTTCCCAACAGTATTTCAGTCATATAGGTGGGTAGTTTCCTAACCATCGTTCCTGGAGAGTTACACCAGTACTAGACTACCTTCCTCCGTGCTAAACTACCAAAGCATCTCCCTGGGATCAAACCCACGCCAGAGTGTAGTTTAATGTATTATTGCATCTTTTTTATTTTGTGAAACATTATTATAACAATATGCTCATTTTGTGTGGAACATGATTGTTACTTGTACACCCATGTATCATTACACTTGTGTACTTTACGTAGTTCTGTGTGGCATGATATCATTTAACATAACATTTTGTAGTTCTGTGTTGCATGATATCATTCAATATTAATATATTGTGTAGTTCTGTGTGGCATAATATATCATTTTAACATGATATTGTGTATTTCTGTGTGGCATAATATATCATTCAATATTAATATATTGTGATGTTCTGTGTGGTATGACATCATTTAACATGATATTGTGTAGTTCTGTGTAACATGATATCATGTAACATAATATTGTATAGGTCTTTACAGTTTGGTATCATTTCACATAAAATAGCATAGTTCTGTGTAACATGATATCATGTAACATGATATTGTGTAATTCTGTGTGGCATGATATCATTTAATGTGATATCATGATATAATGATATCATTTAACATAAAATTGTATGTATTCTGAGATTCATGATATCATTTATCATAATGTAACATGACTGTTATTATAAATTTAGATATAACAACACATATGCACTGTAAAATAGTAGGAACATTTTTCTGGATAAATTTAAATGTATAATTTTCTATATACAAAGATAACATATAGGATATCTAAAATTAGCAACTAGCAATATCTGATATATGTGATATAATATATGACTGAAATCTGAATGTATGTGATATGAAATAAATTATACAGTGATTTTCCTTTTCTTTTCTCTTTTTTTTTTTTTTTTTTACTTAAGCAACATCACTGCCTTTAGAGCCAAGATTTTTTTTGTGTGTAATAACCATACGAAACTTGTGAATTTAATGAAAATATTACAATTTTTTATTCTTTTTTTTCCATACAATAATATCAAATGATATTTTTCATTAAAAGTAATTATTGAAGCTGGTTGTGGAAAATTTTCATAATTTGGGAGGATTTTGAAATATCAAATTCAAATTGGAATTTCCAATAATCTTTTGAAAAAAAAAAAATTTCTTTATTTTTTGAGAAAACAAAAATCACCGAGTATGAATGAAGTCTGATTTTAACCAATTCTGAAATATTACTAGAAATGTGTCATCATGCCACGGATGCCCCCACATGCAGCCAAAATTTCAGATGTTATAATATTTAGTTCCAAATTTGTTTGCACAAATTATTTTTTTCATTTTAAGTTCAAAGCCCTTAAAACTTTTCAATGTTAACACAAACCATTTTCATACAATGTTCAAGGCACTGAAATTATTCAGTCTAAACCTTTTGAAAATAGCATATTTCATATTTGTAGCCAAAATAATGGCTACATTCATTTCAGTGCTGAAACTGAAAGTTCAAAATTTTTCCAACATTCAAGAAAGATAAGTTTGTCCAAAATCATTGAACCAAATTCAAACTTGACCTGCCCATTCCTTTGACATATCCATATGTCAAATTTGAGTAGTTGGGTAGATAATGAACAGAAACTGTAAATTTCATATTATTTTCAAAGTAAAAGGGGCATTACTCTGCCAAAAATCATTGAACCATGACCAAATTCAAACTTGGCCTGGGCATTTCAAAAATATATCCATATGTCAAATTTGAGTTGAATGTGTTGTACCGTTGGGGAGATAATAAACAGAAACTGAAAATTTCATATTATTTTCAAAGTGAAAGGGGCATAACTCTGCCAAAAATCATTGAACCATGACCAACTTTGAACTTGACCTGCGCATTCCTGTGACGTATCCATATGTCAAGTTTGAGTTAAAAGTGTTGTACCATTGGGGAGATAATGACCGGAAACTGAAATTTCATATTATTTTCAAAGTGAAAGGGGCATAACTCTGACAAAAATCATTGAACCATGACCAAATTCGAACTTGACCTGTATTTTCTCACGATATATCCATATGTCAAATTTGAGTTGCATGTGTTGTACTGTTGGGGAGATAATGAACGGAAACTGAAAATTTCATATTATTTTCAAAGTAAAAGGGGCATAACTCTGCCAAAAATCATCGAACCATGACCAAATTCGAACTTGACCTGTATTTTCTCATGACATATCCATATGTCAAGTTTGAGTTGAATGTGTTGTACCATTGGCGAGATAATGAACGGAAACTGAAAATTTCATATTATTTTAAAGTAAAAGGGGCATAACTCTGCCAAAAATCATCGAACCATGACCAAATTCGAACTTGACCTGTATTTTCTCACGACATATCCATATGTCAAATTTGAGTTGAATGTGTGCAACCGTTACTAAGATAATGAACGGAAACTGATGATGACGGAATGACAGAATGACGGAATGACGGAAGGACGGAACAGGGTAACACTATATGCCCCGGCCATTACATGGCGGGGGCATAATAAAATGAAATGTTTACCACAAAGCAATGGCACACTTAGAGAATCTTTAACTGATACTGTAAACCAATGGTACAAGTTAAACAATCAGTGAATGTAATAATGGTTCACAATGAGCAGGGCATAACTTCACATCTTAAGTTTCAACTTTCTATACTATTGAACGCTTATTCTCATTATTTTGATATTGAAATATCCCATAATTTATCGAGAAATCCAAAGTACAAGTACAACAAGTCATTTTTTTAAAAAAATTTCAGCAAGTTTTAAATTGTTTGTTTGTTTCTGGTTTTACGATGATCCGAACACATTAATTTTTTAGTCATATCTTGGCAGTGGATCGCTAAAACTTGCTTTTCTGGGTAACTAACCAGTAAATACCAATTTCTCTGTAAGTGACTGAATACTAATCCCACATTATTTCTGAATCTGTAGTGAATGACAAATCACTATTAGACTCAATGTCCAAAAAATTTTTTACAAGATATTTTTCGCTACGCCCATGGATCCAACCAGCTACCCTGGATTACTAACCAAATGCTGTCCCTATTGAGCTAAGCAGGTGCACTTTTTATAATGATGAATTGACTTGGTATATTCATCTATGTAATGATTTATGGAAAAGAAAATATAATATAATTATACTTCAATGAAAATATAAAATATATTTCACTGTTAAAATATCATGCAATTTCTTTTAAAATGATCATAGTATACATTTGGGGGGTGTGGAAAATATTAAGCAATATTTTTATGGAATTTTATTGTAATGTTGTGTAATAAATTCATTTTTCATATAGCGTACAACAGATATATTTTGGGAGGTGAACTATAATTAAGCAATAAGTTTATTGGCATTTGATCACTGAAAATAACTTTTATTTTCTGAAACTTGTATTTTAAGGGGAGGTAATAAGCAATGGTCTCTCGTCAAAAAAAAGTAACAATCTAAACTATGAAGGTTATGCATGAATGAAAATACACAATAGTGTACCTGTTCCGAGTGTGTTGCCAACCTCCTCATGCTCTGTAACAGTTACACAACAGTGACAGATTTAAAACAGTGAACAGTGACAGATTCAAAACAGTGACATATAGTTCTACAGTGACATTTTTATACAGTCACATCTTATATTCTATACATGTTATTGAACCGTGACATATTGAAAAACAGTGACAAGACTGGAAACAGTGACATTTTCATAGACTTAAAACAGTGACATTTTCATAGACTTGAAACAGTGACATTTTCATGGACTTGAAACAGTGACATTTTCATACAGTCACATTTACTACACATTTTTAGACAGTAACTTACTAAAAAACAGTGACAATTTTTTTTTTTGGTAACAGTGACATATTTTAAAATTTAAATACATTATTAAACAGTGTCATATTTAAAACAGTGACATTTCATATAGAACAGTGACATGTCTGTTTATTATAGACTGTAAAAAATTATAAGAAAAGGTTAAACAAAAACTTTTTGTTTTTAAATTTCACTTACATCCTCTTTTTTTTATCAATGCTTAAGATACTGAAGCTACAATAATCTGGCAAATGAAGCTCTTATGTACCACGTCCTATGTTTAACAACCAATACGGCCATCATTTTGGACATTTTTTAATCTTAAGTGTCATAAAAGAAAACAGTTACAAACAAGAAAAAAAACTAAAAACATCACATTTGAATTGAACATAAAAGATAGAACTGAAATAAAAAACGAAGAAACAAAAATATACCATAAAATAGAAGCATGAAATAAAGAAGCTGCTGAAAACAATATCTTATTAAAATAAAGCATTTATTTACAGTATTTCTCCTAATTAAAGCCCCAGGGGTGGGAGGAGGGGGCCGGGCATGTGATTTCATCAACAGGGTGCTATTAATTAACACCCAATTTTCTTAATATACAACTATTACGGTAATGCCTAGGTTGTCAAGTGCAAAATAAAAGCCATCTTGTTTGATAAATAAAATGATGTTGTTGCAATGAGGAATGTGTTACACCATCCAATTATTTTTTTATGTTTACTACACTAAATATCTTATATGTACACGTATTTGTCCACCTTCCACATCTTTCAATCTGGACAAAACAATAATTTCTAGGAAAAAAAATTTATATACTGACTTAATAGAGAACAGTGCAGACAATGATTAGACGGCAAAGACGTGGTCTGTACTGGTTGTATGAATAAAATCAGTTGCCCACAAATAATTGAAATATTAAGGCATATTGGAATTATCATCATACCTTACCAAATGAAATGTGGGAAAGGTGGCACTTATATTATATGAGGGGGGCTTACATGTATATTAGGAGATATACTGTAAAAAAAAGTATTGAAGCATATAAAATGACTGATAATTTACGAGAGTGTCAAACATTTTTAATTCACATCACTACCCCATTGATACATTTGACATCTTTGTTGATAACAATTTCATGGATTTTTTTTTCTGATAATGTTTTCATCAAGAAATAACTAAAGTTAAGGCATTTCATTTATCTTTCTTTTTGGTTAAGATTTTGATTTACTGCTACTTGTCTAAAATCCTTGTCACCCGCTGAATTTCTTAAAAAAACTTGTTCAGCTTCCATTTTTCATTTTTGAAACTGTTCCATTATAAATTTGGGGATATCAAGATCCATGTTAGAGTTATGGGCCTTAGAAAGTGACCTCTTACTATGCCCTCAAATAAGTGTGTGAACTTTTGACCCATTCCCTTCAGTAGTTATGGTGATACCAGCTCACATGCAAAAAAGTTGAAAAAGGTCATAGAAACGCAAAAAGGCAAATCAGAGTTACGGGACTTTTGCCAATCATTTCAGATAATCACAAAGAACAAGCATGTGAAGTTTCAACCCATTCCCTTCAGTAATTTTGGAGATACCAACCTGACACCAACACCTAGGTGAGTACAAAAGCTCTCCTTATTTTTCAAATAGTCAAGCTAAAAATAGAAAAGCTCAGCTACAGGGAATCTTGAGCTAAATTTTAAAATTGCTGCCAAAGACTTAAGCAGAATATCTCAAAATAAAGTAAAGCAACAATAAAAAAAATTAAAATAAAAAATGCCAAAGTTTGGAAAAAACAACCACAAAAATAGCTTCAATTTCATGGAAAAAATTAATTATGTGTCAAAGTTAATGAGGCCTTATCATTGAGATTTTATGGCACATATGAAAAAAATGAGGAGAAAGTTTAAAGGAAGAATTTCAATATTGTTCTTTTAATCAATAATGTAAGCTTAATGCTGGCTTAACAGATGATTTAATATTTCTGCAACTAACTAAATGAGAATATCTGCAATTTTCACCTTTTAGTTTTTTGTTCAATTGCTCTTAGGGGAATTTCCACTCCCTGGAATTTCTACTTTAAACCATTAAAGGAACTCCACAGAGGTCAAAAAGCTAAAATTTAGAACTTGACTTTCTAATATAGATCGCCAGGGCACTTATAACAAAACGATATCCAGAGATGATTTAAGAAATACACTAAGAAATAAATCGAAAATCTTTTTTTTTTGGTGCTATTCTTAGCAGGATTTGAGTAAAAAGCGTTGCAATGCTTTTAAATTTTGGGTCATTTTTCACAATTATAATTATTGTCTTAGAAAAACGGAGTGATCCAATAATAGAATGATATGAAATTTTGCGCACGAGCTATTGGTCTAACCCAACATCAAATGGAACATTTATCTCAAAATCCTCTCATGTCAAAGAACTTCAGTGGAGTCCCTTTAAGTAAAATAATATGATTTTATTCTGTGTAAAAAGCATTCCTTTGTTTTGAATATCATTCACTACTTGTTGAACTTTTTTTTTGCTCTTGTATTGTGTACTTAGACTTAATGGCCTTAAAAAAGTTGTCATAAACTTGAAACTTGCATTTGCCTACATTTGTTAGATAGATTACACTTTTATTTCCCACACAAATTAGAAGTAGAAAAATATATGAGCATAAACACATCTAAAAATAAAAGCTGCTAAAGCTTCAAAACAAAAATCCATGAAATTCTAATCAAACAAATGGTCAAAGATGGAACGGCATTTGTGATCGGACAATAATTATATACAGGACAACCTACCGTGATTATGCATTTCCTTCGGCAGTGAATATTTTCGTCCTATATCTGCCAGCGATCGTATAAGGGGTAGATGTATTTTACTTGACCCGTTATCGTGGTGCCGCTTCTCGTGTTTTTCGTTTAGATGGCGATGTCGCTGAAGCAGAACGTCTCGTACTTGATCCTTTAACGTTTCCTCCAACTGATTAGAGGCACACATGTTGTCTAATAACACGTCTGTTCAATAAAAACATCGGTTAAACCATCAATAAAAATACTGTCTAAACATTACTTGCTTGTTTGTTTGATTGGGATTTACGTCACACAGACACAGTATAGGTCATCTGGCGCATTCCAGCTTTACTGGTGGAGGAAGACCTCAGGTGCCTTTCTGTGCAGTATTACAGGCATGAACAGGCATCTGAGTAGAACCACAGACGTTCTGTAAGCTAGCTGGATAGCTACCTCACATGAAAGAATTCAAAGTCCCTGTCTGGATTCGAACCCACAGTGGGTCTAAACATTACCTACATGTTTTTCAATAGTGAAGAAATAGAGGATATTGAATGAGTGTAGATTTAATACTAAATTTATTGAATGATAATCATAATATTGGTTTTTTTCCCCAACGAGTTCAATAAATTTAGTATTGAATCAACATGAATATAAGATATATTCTATTTATCACATATCTATAATAACATTTTTTACAGCTAAAACATTTTTCATTGACGCCCATATAGTGTAACGCTAACATCAGCGTTACAAACACTATGTTTGTATATAACACAACTGATGTCATGTCAAAGTGTTATTTCACTAGTGTAGTATCAGTTTTATCAAATGAGTATATTACACTCCTGAGCCGTGACTTTTGTTTATGTGAAGAAAGTTTGTAGCTTATCTGAATCAATCACTTCCTGGAACTAACCAGTAGTGGTGTCATATGAAGAAGCATGGTTGTAATCCATGATCCCTGGGTTTGTAGGCAAACACCTGAACCAATAAACACCTTTACCCTTTTATCCATCTGTAGTATGATGTTAATCAAAAGTCTTTTGACAAATTTAGTTTAGCTTTTCTTTTGACATTTCTCTTTATGTGTGACCAGGACCCATAGTTATCAAAGTAATGAATCTTAAATTTTAACAGTGATTTTAAAATGACATTTATTCTGTAAGTTGTATATTGTTACATTATAATGTTGATTAAACTTTGCTACAAATACTTCAACAAGTTTGTCAATATCTTTGTAGCCTAATTATAGGCAAGTTCACATTTCATTAAAAGCCAAAAATTGAGCCTAAATCAAAATACTGATCAATAACATTCTTAGACCTTAATTTTAATACTATAGCACATGCGTGCTGAAAAATGTGTAATAGTAAATTATTTATCCGTAATTTTACGTCACACCAACACTTTAAAGGTCATACGGCAACTTTCCAGCTTAAGTGGTGAAGAAAGACCTGGGGTCACCATCCTTCCATAATTTCAGGAATAACCAGGCACCAAGAAGAACCACCGAAATTCTGTAAACTAGCTGGATAGCTTCCTCACATGAAAGGTCTCTGACAGGATTCAAACTTTCTGTGGTGAGGGGCAAGTGACTTGAATATGTGAAAAGTTACTAAAGGAGTCCTTGGTGTATGACAGGAACATCATGTTTTGTCAGCCCTAAGCCTGTAAGCTGCTATTATTTAACTCTTTAAGAACTATCAGAGACTTATTACTACTGTTTGACCACTTACCGATGATCTGATAAAAGAATTGAACGTCCATATCCAGTATTACTGTGCCGTTATGTATACATGATCGTAGTTCAAACAGGGAATGTAACGATAATGTAGCAACATGAGGCTTCGACCATCTCTCTCCACCCTCCTCCACGTCCTCCTCAAACTTTATCCATCTGTAAACAAAATTGATTGATTTAATTTATTCATTTATTTGTCTTATTTTTTTATTCATTTTATTTATTTATTTACTTGTTTGTTTGTTTGCTTGCTTGCTCGCTCCTTCATTTGTTCATTCATTCATTCATTCATTCATTCATTCATTATTTATTTATTTATTTATTTATTTATTTATTTATTTATTTATTCATTTATTTATTTATTTATTTATTTATTTTTATATAAAGGGTCAATATCTCTTACTGAGTCAAGGGCAAAAACTCTACAAATACCGAATTAATCCACACGCCCAGGTGCACAACTACACATGCTGACCAATATTCCTATAAAGTTTTGTGACTCTGTAGGACAATTACTTTTGAGCTATGTGCGACACAACATGAGAACGGAAGGACGAGAGTAAAGCTAAATGCCCCCCCCCCACCCCTGAACTACAGTGGGGCCACAAAAATAAATAAATTTCTGGGGCAAAATGAACCTTTAATATTATAGAATTAATCTATATGTCAAAAACATCTAGCAAATGACATATATATATATATATAATTATTGATCTGGTGAGACATTAGCTAAGTCATCTATCACTAGGGCAGGCAGATCTACCATATTGATTTCTGTCTGTAACAGGACGTCTTCCCAATAAGGTCAGATTCCACCAATTAATTTCAACAGCTGGTCATTTACAGATACACATAATTTAATCCTTACATCCTTAGACAATCTGTCTTATTTAAGCAAAATCTGTTATAAAAAAATCCGAATATGTCTGCAAATATGGGCTCTGGACTTGGTGAAGTTCAGAAGAATGGTGTGAAATATTCCTATTAATTCATAAATTATAATCATTATTTTTTTTCATTTTCTGCTGAGGTCATCAAATTTTAAGGGGTCACACTTTGGACACATGTTGCTTAAGCCCAAGATTATTAACCTTTTTAAAAAGTTCAAAAAGGGGCAATAATTCTGCCAAAATCTATGTTAGAGTAATGAGCCTTGTACAGAGTGACGCTGATGCTGACAACTGAGTGAGTACAATAGCTTTCCCTACTCTTCGAATGCTTCCTATTCTTTGAATAGTCGGGCTTAAAATTACGCAGATAAAGGGTTTTAATCTTTACCTGGCAGTTTCCTTCCATTCCATTTCTCCGTCATGGGCAAACAATTCTCCCAACTCACAAAACAGGTCATGTGTCCTGTGTTCTTCATCATCTTCCTCTTCACCCAATAGAAACTGCACATGCTGAGATGGGGGTGTGGCTACAAAAAAGTAAACCAACCAATCAAATTTAGTTTTAGAAAAAACTGTTTAACAAAGATATCCCTGAACCTGTCATATAGGTTTTACCTGAAAGATAATCTCCAAAGATAAAATTATGCTGAAACTAAATTTATGAACCACATAAGCAATGGCATGAATGAAGTTAACATATAGTTAAAACAAAATTACATCAATGCTTATACTGCAATCTCTAATCACTAAAGTTCCCATAGGCGGGAAAATGGAATTGTCTTTTGGCAGAGTGCCAAACTTGCTTTCTATTTTAAAGTGTCAATAACTATAATTGGATTGTTCCACTAACATTTAGGAAAGTGTCGTAAGTCGTTAAAATTGCCAGCTATAAACATCCAGCAGACGTTATCTTCCAGGGCCGTTAATTAGTCGCCGATTTTCTTGCTCATTCGGAAATTGATGTCTAAGAAATATTTTTTCGAAACTCTTTAACAATAACAACAATTTACAACAATATACATTAATACATTAAATGATACTTGACAAGTTCATGGTCCTCAAATTTAGTAATGCTTTTCCTTATAAAAAATTTAAAATAATTACAAACATTTGTTGGTAGCTCATTTTTTGGGGGATTTTTTTATATTGAAATCCCTCAAACTTTGAATGGACTGTTCCACATTCAAAACTAGGCAATTCCATTTATACAAATTCAGCGAGTTCAGGGTGAAATAAGCTCATCCTGCACGTCCATGTAGCCTGACGCGATTTTTTTAGTAATGTCTCAGAAATTTCAGAATTTTCGTAATAAAACGATCACACTCAATAGGCAATTTCAAAGCTAGACATACGTCGTTTCTACAAATAATTTAGTAACCTTAAGACAAAATGTCTAACAAGAGTCCTTTTTTGCTATCAATTTCCTGTAATCTTTTAAATGTATCTTTCGAATCCATTTACACATTCACTGCAGTAACCGTCATGTTCCTTTTACCTAAAATAGTCCATAATCACTTATTATTTTACGCAGAGGTAACCAAAAGTCGTGCGACATTTACAACAAATTTCCCAAATATAGACCACAAGATCTTGTCATCTATAAGAAGTGTGATAACTTTCCATTTCATATTCCTTAAAATATATGCATTATTAAAGTAGGAGAAAAGAAAATTACCTTTCTATAGCTTATACATTTATATTTCACCAAAGTTTAGGCTCTCTATCTTTTAAGGTTATTCTAGTACATTGATTGTTTTGCTTTTGTTATTTTTGCAAAAAGCTGATAATTGGTAACCTAGGCGCAGTAATGTATAAACTCCTTATATAATCAAATAGGATTTAATCTGTTATTGCACTGAGGTGACAATATTTGCCTTTCAATTTGGGGATTTTTAGTGGGACAACTGTATGAAAATAGGGAAAATTTAATGAATCTATTATTCCCCTTTTTTCTTTTTTCAAATGACAATGAACATTTATATTATTAAAGTAATATGAGCGGCGCCATGACAAAACCAACATAATGGGTTTGCCACCAGCATGGATCCAGACCAGCCTGCGCACCCGCGCAGTCTGATCAGGATCCATGCTTTTCGCTATCAGTTTCTCTACTTGTTATAGGGTTTGTAAGCGAACAGCATAGATCCTGATCAGACTGCGCGGATGCGCAGGCTGGTCTGGATCCATGCTGGTCGCAAACGCATTATGTTGGTTTTGTCATGGCGCGGCTCATATTATGTCTTATTATAAATTATAATTGAGCTAGTCTGAGGAAGTCACCTCACTCGAGATATTTTCAAAATTAAATTAGGAATTTTCAAAAAAAATGTTGATAGTTAAAAGGCCTATTTTTTTACCTTTATTTTATGCAAAAATAATTTTACTGTCTGATGAATTTTTTGTATAAATGCACAACATTTTTGTCACCTTCCAATCAAAAGCACCATTTCAACATGACTTTATTATGTGACCTTCAAGCTAACTGTCAATCCTAGGAAAAATATTTAAATTCAATACCTTGCCATGGAATGAATTTTGCCATTCCTTGGGTTACTAGAATAAATGGATGGTGCACCTTAGAAAAATCAAAACAACAAAAAAACTACCACCAAAGATCTAACCTTTATGTTGTCTAGACAAATTACTCAAAAAAGTTGGGCAGTAATTTTCTCCAGAAACCTTAGCAAAGTAGATACACAATATGACAAGAAACCTTTCAATATTGTCAAGATGTATCGACATTTCCTTGTTTGTCCGTCGTGCGTCATGATACAAAACAAGAAAAAAAATTGGGCGAAAACGCAATTTCGACTTTTGAAAATGTAATTCCAAACTACTACGGCAAGTCAACAGACCTGTTTTCCTATGACAAGATACAAGACTTTCCTTGTTGCTATTGGTAACTTGATACAAGATAACCAAATAGTTACAGTAATTTGGGGAGTTCAATAACTGAATTAATTTGGTTTTCTGTTGAAATGAAAGCTATTAGGCCTTGGCTATTAGTATATTATGAGAGAGATGGTGAAGAAATATGATCAGAAGTATGATTTGAATTTATTTCTAATCCCTAATGGTACTAGATGCACTGACTTGCTGTAAGACTAGTCCATACAACCCTCTGTGGAATCATTTCTTTACAATTATAGTATCTTTCTTTTTTTTTTTTAAAGTAAGATTTCACAATAAATTCAATGCTTGTAGAGCAATACCTCTCATCAGCAAACAAAATCTTCATCTCCCTGAACAGTGATGCTTAACATTAAACAAAGGTTGTACTTTTTTATTTCATTATATTATTCTCTACACCCCTACAAGGCCTGGGAAGTGGCTGTGTAGGCTAAGTGGTTTAAGCATCAAGACTAATTATCCAAAGATTGTTGGCCATGTGGCAGCGGCAAGCCATTGTTTCTTTAAACAAGAAACTTTACACTCATTGCTTTGTACAGTTGGTTCCAGGAACAGATTCAAGCCATTGTTTCCTTGAGCAAAACAAGATTGCATTTGAGAAAAATGCTATGCCACCGCATTAATACAACACTAAATTGTAATGTTGGAACAGATTTTTTTTTGTTTCTATACAATTTTGAAGATTGTCATAATGCATAGATCCCTGACCTATCTTATTCTTATTATCAGATTAGTGGTTAAATCTGTTGTTAACTCAATAAAAGATCAGAGTAGGAATATATCAATGCACTCGAGTCTGGTGAATTTGGTGGTGAAGGTCATATTTCACACAGCCTAAATTTCATGACTACATCAAAGAACAGTAAGACACTTTGTCAAAATCTAGGTCAGCTGAAATCAAAGTTCACTTTACGTCTTAATCTGTGCACATGGTTCAAATTTCATAGCTGTACATCAAAGGACAAGAAAGTAGGTCACATCATCAAAATCTAGGTCACCTGATATCAAAATTCAATTTTTCAACTAAAACTGTGCACATGGTCAAAATTTCATTGCTGTACATCAAAGGACAAGAAAGTAGGTCACTGTCCCCTTGGGCAAGGCAAAATTTTGGACCCAAGGGTTTCATTCAAAACAATCTTGATACAGGTCCACCGAACAACATTTCAAGTCAAATATCTAAGCTGTAGCTTTCTCCCATTCAGAAAACATTTGTTTTATTTTCTGTTTTTACTATGTGTACATAATGAGAATCACTGCCCCCGGGCAGGGCCAATTTTGACACCAGGGGAATAATTTGAACAACTTTGGAAGAGGACCTATAGATGATATTATATAGCAAACATCGAAGCTCTATGCCTTGTACCTTCAGATAAAAATATATTTTTTTATTTTTTTACTATATATATATATGTATATATATATACATATAAGGAAAGCCTATGGCCCCCTGGGCGGGGCTAATTTTGACACTAGAGGCAAAATTTGAACAACTTTGGTAGAGTTCCTATAGATGATATCATTTAAAATATTTAAGCTCTAATAAAGACAATAAGATTTTTTACTATAAGTATATATTGAAGATACATATAAGGAAAACTAATGACCCCCCGGCGGGCCGATTTTGACCCCAGGGCTATAATTTGAATAGTCTGTGTAGAGGTCTACCAGACAATGCCTTCTGCAAAATACCTAAGCTCTAGGCCTTTTGGGTCTTTGGAAGAAGGTATTTTAAGTTTTTACTATATGTACATATAGTGAAAAGCAATGACCCCAGGGCGGGGCCGATTTTGACCCCAGGGCTATAATTTGAACAATCTTGGTAGAGGTCTACCAGACAATGCTTTATGCAAAAAATCTAAGCTCTAGGCCTTTTCGGTCTTTACAAGAAGGTATTTTAAGTTTTTACTATATGTACATATAGTGAAAATCAATGACCCCCGGGGGGGGCCGATTTTTGACCCCAGGGCTATAATTTAAACAATCTTGGTAGAGGTCTACCAGACAATGCCTTATGCAAAATATCTAAGCTCTAGGCCTTTTGGGTCTTTACAAGAAGATTTTTTAAATTTATTCTTATAATTCCTTTTGGTTGCCACGGGGCGGGGCTGATTTTGACCTTAGGGCTATAATATGAACAATCTTGGTAGAGGTCTACCAGACAATGCCTTATGCAAAAAATCTAAGCTCTAGGCCTTTTCGGTCTTTACAAGAAGGTTTTTTAAGTTTTTACTATATGTACATATAGTGAAAATCAATGACCCCCGGGGCGGGGCCGATTTTGACCCAAGGGCTTTAATTTGAACAATCTTGGTAGAGGTCTACCAGACAATGCCTTATGCAAAATATCTAAGCTCTAGGCCTTTTGGGTCTTTACAAGAAGATTTTTTTAAATTTATTTCTTATAATTCCTTTTGGTTGCCATGGCAACCAGATTTCTGCATGGAATGAAATTCTTTGAACAACTTTGGAACCCCTTCACCCAAGTATCAACCCTGCCAAGTTTGGTTGAAATTGGACTAGTGGTTTTTCACAAGAAGATTTTTTAAGTTCACTATATAATCTATATAACACACACACACACAAACAAACACACACACAGGTGAATCGCTATATG